ACTTGTAAACAGTGCTTCTGCTTAAAGCCTTTGCTCCACATGAAACAACGTTGTATGCATGTGTGGAAATCATGCTGCTTTAAAACTACTTTTCCCATGCTCCAGACACCGTACTTTGAAGGGTGTGAATGCATTCAACTATGCAAGCTGTGAGATTTAGTCTTTTTGTTGACTTTTATTTTTTGCAGAAGTATAGAATCAATACAGTTCTAGTTGTCCTTCGAGCAGTGACATTTTAATAGCTCTCTATGCATTGATTGATTCGTTTTCGTAACCGGCTTGTCAGAAGATGGCGTTAAATCCGCATTTGCAGTTAATAATTGTCCAGCTTTGAAGCGCTCCAGGCCATAATTTCCATCTAATTGAGTTGCGCTGCCATAATATTTTTCGCATGGCTGGGCAGAACCATTTAAGCAAAACATAAAGAAGTTTCGTGTGAAAACAGACAGTCGAACGATACTTGGTCTGTTGTTTCAGCTCTAGGAGGTATGTCGTGACGATATCCGGCTCAGGCTAAATACTGAGTAACACGATATGGAAAACAATATATTCAGAAACTCGACACATGACAGCAAAGCATAGAGGAAATCATCGTAAAGGCACGGCCATAGGCATACCCCTAAATGAATTCTCAATTAGTTATTCCCTATATACAACCACTTAATCCGCCAGTCACGGCATTACTGCTCACAATCGATATCACGAAAACAAGTCACGAAAATGGTTTCCTTCGTCAGCTTCTTCGAGCCGTTCTCACTCTAGCGCTTTGTAGTTACATTCATACCTGCTACTAGAGGAATTTTAGGAGGCTCATGGTGTTTCCATCATAAACTGCGCCTGGCTTCTGGATGAATGGTGATAAATGATTCTCAAATCTGTCAGCTGTTTGCACATGGCATGCCAGTAAGGCTATTTTGGACAGAACGCTTTTTCGGCTCTGCTGTGTTGCCTCCGCCACAGTTGCAGTGTGGGGGCGAGAGCTTTATTGTAGCCCCAAGCTTCTGTGGAGCTGCGTTTTGCCTGCAGCCTTTCCTGGCATCTAGTCTTCCTTCAGTTTCCTTGAAAATCTGCTTCTTCAGGCTGGAGATTTGTCACCCACTTCAACAAAGAAATTTTGTGGAGCTTCAAAAAGTAACTTAAGAAAAATACCGTCAGTGGCACAGCTGGGAGAGATATGCATTGCAAGAACACTAACACTGTATGCGACGCTTAATTCATTGAAGGCGTTCTCAAACAGCTGAGACGATATAGCGTCAATAAAATGCCGTTCTTGGAGTGCAATTTTGACGATATAGCGTCAATAAAATGCCGTTCTTGGAGTGCAATTTTGACTCATCTGTCTGTTTTTGTTATTTGTGAACGAATGCTGTATTGCTGAAAAACTTTTGTTGCAGCTTTTGTGCATTCATTTCTTAATTTTTTCCGGCTGTGAAAAGAACGCTTGTCCCAACGAAGTGCATCCTGTTTGCCATGCGAACACTATCGCGGGCAGGGAGGTTGTGCCTAGAACTGCCTAATTGTGTTATTGTTACGGAGGGGCAGCGTCAGGTATCAACGTGTCATCTCATACTTGAGCTGCAGCATTTGTTTCTGCTGAGCTTATCGGAACGATGGCCGTCAATATCTTTGTAGCGTTTCTTTTATTGTTAACCGGGTATGGGAAAATCCACCATCTTTTATGCGTAAATCATCTTGAACCGAGCTTTGCGTCTGTCAAAAGGCGGCCAACACAACCAGGTTTTTTGCCATTCCCAAGCAAGCACTATCTTCGGATTGGACTGCTCAGCAAAGCTGTTAATTTGTGTTTATAGAGTATTGTGACTTTCTTAATGCTTGTTTAAACTAATGCGTGATCCATAGCGTTTAAAAATAGTACTTCACTAAATGCCAGAATATGCAATCTGGTAATGTTGAAGATGACTGACCTGACTTTGGCGTGTTTCACAATGCCAAGAAAACGTGCGTTCTTCTTTGTTAGCATATAGTCTTTCATAGAATGAACCCAAATCAGACTTGCACATATTTACATGTAAAACTCCATGAGCATTTTGCATTTTCTTGTTTGTAGTTTGCAGCAATACTTGGACAGCTCCGCAATTGTAAATTTGTATATTAGTACAGTCTTCCACTACGGGCCCGCAGCTGTAGCTTATCAGTCAGTTGCTTATCTATATCAATGCTGATTGGAGTATATTGAAAGTAGGATGCAGCCCCAAATTTTGCAGTTTTGCTGTGCTTTCTTCACCCCTTGAAGTCAGAGAAACAAATTATTACTAACTCGCATTAAAGCGGCGAAGAGGGGGACTTCTAAGTTTAAATGTACCCGGTATAGTGAGCATGTACTCCTAAGGTACTTTTTTTACTAGAAAGCTCCTGGTGACTTCCCCAGAACTGTGTTGGCGTCAGCATAAGAGGGGTTGTGCGAGCATTTCAGGGGCCTCGTCCTATAGTTTGGCATCGCTACGTATCAGTAGCTGTCTTTCTTTCTCTAGAAAGCGGCGTTTGAACAAAGAGGCCAAATTGGGTAATAATGACACATTCTTTTCTTCATGCTCGGAAACGTTTTACCATGCCAAAACAAAGAGTAGAAAACGACAGCAGCATCTGAGAAGTAGGAGAACAAAGGCAAACGTAAGAGCTGGAATAGTGAGGGTAGCGTCTCTCGAGTTGGATCATGCGAGACGGCTGGCTTCAGGCAGGAGAGGTGCATATAGTAATATGGGCTGAGGAAAATGAACGTGACAACAATGAATCGAAACGTGACAAAATATCTGAATCGGTGTGTAGTTGCCATAAGCCAACTATTCCTCTGTATGGATCTTTCAGTACTTCTTCGTTCCCTTCTCTCCGAGCCTTTCAATAACCCGATCCGTAAGCGCTTTGCATCAGTCCAGTCTCTACCTGTTAACCGTCTTGCGTTAACAATTCTCCTCTGAAATTGACTCATGGTACGCATTTCCCTTAGCTATACATACGTAATGTGTGAAAGATACGAAAAATGGGAGGACTGCTACTTAGGCTCCATTAGATATACGTTTGAGCAATAGGGCACTATCTTCTCGTTTTGTGAGATAAATGCTCAGTCCGCCGTTCACAGCGACCCTACAAAGGCGCGCGTCAAATGACTGCCCTTGTAACAGTTTGGCCTTCCGGCCCTCTTTGGAACATCAGCCATGTAATGGCTAGCTTTACCGATACTGTAAGCGCCTATTCTTTTGTTCTAATCATTTTCGGTTGTGTATTCTGGCTCACGTTGGACTCTATGCCAGGCACTCACGCCATTAAACACCACCATGGTGTGCCTGTATCTATTTTGTAGCTTTCATGTGCACGCTCATATTCAATTTATGTAATTTGTATAATCATTCGCAAATGCTTCGCATCATCGGCAAGCTATGATCCAAAGCAACTGTTCTTTGCTTCTCCACTAGAGCTCCACACCGAGACTTACGCATCCCACTAGAAGTTTTGATCATGCTGCTAACTATTACGATTAGGGGATCATGAGGCTAGGCTACTGCGTCCCTGAGGCCATTGTGCCTGCGGATCGTTACGCGCTAGCCTTTCAGCATACACTAATTTCTTGTTGCTGCCATTCAAGATATCGTTTTGGCCACTGAGCAGTCACAAAACAAGCCGGCTTTCTTGCCACCGCAATGCTAGCAGAAACGTTTAAGCTTCCCTGTTTAGAAGGGTAAGCTGGTAGGCGCAGCGTTAAAGGCACGCAGTCTCATGTTCGGCGCGAGCCGCCCAAACAACAGAACCCAAGCAGCAGCAGGAGCAGCAGCAGCAAAGAGCTGCGGGCCCCCTCAGCCCCGCTGGCGCGGCCTGCACTCATTCACTGCCTTCTGGGTCAACGCCTATTTGGGCGTGTCCGTATAGCCCTCAACCTTGGGGTTTCGCAGCAGGCTCTTACTTCGCTGCATGCAGTGCTGTCTGTGGCAGGAGTTCTTTTCTGCTCAAGCAGCTCCAATAAAGTGAACTACTTGTGAAGGGCTGTTTCGCAGTTAAAGCAGAAGAATCAGTAGATCTAGACGAGGCAGAAAACTAAGAGCGTGTCTTTGCTGCACTGCTGCTGCTTCGGACCTCTATTGTGGCTGCAGCACGGCATAACTCCTCCACATCTCCAGCAGCAAACATAAACTCCCTCTGCTGCCAGGAGCCAGTTCAAATGCCATTATGCCATGCAGCAGGAGTTCCGTAGCAGCTAGCTGGTGCCCGCAGTCGGCCTTTTAAGAAGTGTGCCTCTGCTGCGCCACAATCTGTTACAAACTGGCAGCCCTAGCCTAATTTTATAAAAGTAGAGCAATTAGAAGCAGCAGCTCAAGGCCGCTTGAAACCAGACTTGGGCTCTGAAGCCCAGAGTCTGCGGCGGCTTCTACATGCACAAACACACAGCAGCAAAACTGGGGAAACTGCGGCAACGAGGTACAAAACAATTATGCAAAACGATCATTTATCTTTTTTAACGAGAAATAAATGTATTAAATCCCTCTGTAAGCAACGGCACAGCCCAGAGCCCAACAGTAGTAGCTTGTGGCTGCTGCCTGCATGCGCTTCCGGCCCCGGCTGCAAGTCTTCGGGTTTGACCCTGTGCTCCTTCTTGAAGTCCCTGGTGAATTAATTTGATTTCTGTAATTTCAATTGCTCATGCATGCAGCCTTGTGGCCTGAAGACCCGCTTTTTGGCCTCTCTCCGGCACCAGGGGTCCTCCTTCTGGAGCTGGCGTAGAAGTACGTTTCTTTGCATCCGGGGCTTCCCACTATCTCTGGGGAAAATAGCTCTGGGCATTCTTTGTTGGGGGCGACCTCTGGCAGAGCCCAGGCTCGAGCCAACCCCAGCACAAGTCTTTCTCTATCCCCTGAACTCCTGCAAAAACCCCAAGCCCTTCTGTGCAGCTGCAAAGGGAGCGCCCGCCACGCCTCTGAAGTGGGCGGCGGCTTCCACGGCGTGCCTCTGGGCTGCATAGAGATGTCTGCGTTGTTTGAACGGGCGGCAAAATGAGCAGGTGGCTCTTCGGAAGCCGCAAGAGCGGCACCCAGCAGTCCGCCAGCGTTTACAATGTAAGCATTCAAAGTTGAGAAACAGTGAAACGATTCCGCTATTTTCAGCTTGAGACTTGCACCTGTGTAGCAGCAAGACAGATGTCCGAACATCCAGGAGTGTACGTACACCTGGAGCGAAACCGCACACGAACTCAGAGGCACCTGGAGTATTCTTATATCTGGCTTTTCCTGCAGACTCTTGACCCCAAATGGTGGTTCAGTTTTATTTTTTCGGCTCATTTCTTTGCGCTGAGCCAGGTGGGGCTCGTGTGTTGCAACGCATGGCTTTTGGGTGTTGGGGTTTGCGCTGCAGGATGTGAAGGCGGGTCTGCAAGCCATGTACAAGAAGTACTTGTTGCCTCTTGAGTCGGATTTCAAGTTTCAACAGTTTTATTCTCCCCTTCTCACCGATGGCGACTTCGCCGCGAAACCCATGGTGATGGTTTTGGGCCAGTACTCCACAGGAAAGGTAAACCCTCGAGCCCCCGCCCTAGACCTTCTCGCCTGTCGATGTTTCGCAGCAGCGCAGTCTCTCTGCCCATTACTTTCGAAATAAATACATTAAATCCAATTTATTTAAGTAGGGGGAAGAGTCTAGTTTGTGGGTTCAGGCTCAATGGGGAGAGCTTAGAAGTTTGCCGTTATCTGCTGCAGATAGGCTCACTCCAACACCTGATGGAGAGAGACTATTCGGGTTTAGGGCATAGGGTTTAGGGTTTAGGGTTTCGGGCTTATGCTTTTGGATTTAGAGGATAACTAGGACTATGGCGAGGTCTACTGCCGGCAGCCTACATCGGGGTTAGGGTTTAGGGTTTAGGGTTTAGGGAGACCTGAGGACTGCGATTTGCTGCAGACAACCTTTGTGCAACACTTGCTGGAAAGAGACTACCCGGGGCTTCGAATTGGGCCTGAGCCAACGACAGACAAATTCGTAGCAATTATGGAGGGAAGCACAGACCAGGTAGGCGCTAAACCCTAAACCCTAGACGCGAAACCCTGCGCGACACACCAGGTGGGCCCTAAACCCTAAACCCTAGACCCTAAGCCGCCGACATGAAGCTTTTCTTGAGCCTAAACGCTCCCAAGCCGCCCTGAGCCTCGACAAAAGCCTCAGGGTTTCCCTTCAGGGGCAGACAAGGGTCCAGACTCAGAGCATAGAGCTCAGGGTTTAGGGTTTAGGGTTTAGGGCGGGGTTCGCTGCTGGCAGGTCATTCCAGGGAACACGGCGGTGGTGGACCCCACGAAGCCTTTCAGCCAGCTGTCGAACTTTGGAAATATATTTCTGCAGCGGTTTGAGTGTTCTTTGTTGCCTTGCGTGGTTTTGAATGTGAGGCTAAAAGGCTAGGGTTTGAGGGTTTGAGGGTTTAGGGTTTAGGGGAGGCGGTTTGGAGAGAACATTTGCAAACTCCACAATTCTTTGCCGCTTCTGTCTTGGCCTTTCTCTGGCTTCTTTTTCTGCGCCTTTTTGTGTTTGCATGCAGTTGGCCTTTGTTGGATTTAAATCTTTTTTTATTTCACCGTTTTGTGTTCTTCTCTTTACCACTTCGTCTTGTAACGCCACTTTTTTGCCACTTTTTTGTAACTTTTGTTTCCTTTGGACTTGTTTTTCAGCCTCAGTGTGTTTTCAAGGAGCTGCGCTTTTGAGGGTTTAGGGCTAGGGTTTAGGGCTAGGGTTTACGGTTAGTGGTTTTTGCAGGGTTTGACCCTAATCGACACACCGGGGGTTTTGAGCGGCAACAAACAAACCTCCAGGGGTTATGACTTTGAGGCAGTGGTCCAGTGGTTTGCGGAGAGGGTGGATTTGATTCTTTTGATATTTGACGCGCACAAGTTGGACATTTCAGACGAGTTCAGGAGATGCATTAATGTAAAATGCCCTGAGTTCAAACCCTCAAACCCTAACCCCTCGTGCAAGCTGTAGGCCACAAACCCTCAGCAGCAGGGGGGCTGCCGGACACTTGCTGCTCGGGGTAGGGTTTGCCAGTGGCTGCTGTTGGGGCTTGAGGGTTTGTGGTTTAGGGTTTAGGATAAGGGCTTAGGGTTTAGTTTAGCTGCCTTTCGGCTGCAGGCCTTGAGGGGCAATGACACAAAAATCCGCATTGTTCTGAACAAAGCAGACATGGTTTCTTATCAGCAGCTGATGAGGGTTTACGGGGCTCTCATGTGGTCGCTTGGCAAAGTGAGTCAGGGTTTAGGGTTTAGGGTTTAGGGTTTGCTAGGTGCAGCCTAGGTGGCTCATCAGCTACTCGCGTCGAGTGCGCTGGTGGGAACGTGACCTGCTCCTTCAAACAACCGTGCAGAAAGTTGAGTCTACGATTTAGGGTTTAGGGTTTAGAGTTAGGAGTTTAGGGTTTAGGGTTTGTGCGTCGCATGCAGGTAATATCATCTCCTGAGGTGGCAAGAGTGTACATTGGCTCCTTCTGGAACAACCCGTTGCAAAACGACGAAAATAGGAAACTGTTCGAGGCGGAGGTGAGGCTGCTGTTTCTGAAGTGTTGTTTGAGGTGTCTGTACACCTCAAGTGCTTGCTGAGCTTAAAACGCACTTCATGCAGCTGCATCTTCACATCCGAAATATTTTGCGAAGATATGCTGAAGTGCCCCTTCCGGGGCACATATTGCGCATGCTTCAAGCAGCTTATTTAAAATTGCGAAATATATAAAGTGTGAAACTTCTGACAATTTTCGGAATTCTACATTTTGCAGGCCAATGACCTCTACTCAGACATTGCTCGGGTTCCCCGCGACGCGGCCATTCGGAAATTGAACGATTTCATAAAAAGAGCCAGACTAGCAAAAGTGGGGATTTGATTTGGCCTTTTTTTGCATTCTTTTGCCTGTTGGTTGTTGTATTGTTTTTTTGTTATTTGCGTCTTCTCCGTTTTGCTTCTGCGCCGCTTTTTGCATTTGTTCACCTCATTTTTGTTGTCTTTGTCGTGGCCTTCTTGAAGTTCTGTTGTCTTTTCTCACTCATCGATATTAAGATTTTCCTTTTGTTTTGTTTTATTTTGCTTCCCCGCCAGGTGCATGCGCTGCTGCTAACTACTCTGCGCAACAAGTTGCCAATGTTTGGCAAAGAGTCCAAAAAGAAGCAGTTAATAAACCAGCTAAGCACCATTTATCAACAAGTTTCACAAGAATATGGTGTTCCCATGGGCGACTTCCCTCCGCTGGCGACAATGCAGGCAGGTTTGGGGCAGACGGTTTCGGTCTTGTGCGTCTTTTTGTGGTTTTGCAAGGCCGAAGGGGTCCTGGGAGCTCTGCCTGCAGCATCTAGTGTTTAAAGTTTCGGGTTTAGGGTTTAGGGTTTAGTCTGCGGGGTTCGCACGCGTGCATGGGGGTAGAAGCGTGGCCTGCTTTGTACTGTTTGGCTTTAGGAGAAATTGGCTTCTTTTGAATGGAGCAAAATCCCCCGGCTAGATATGAAGCAGCTCGAAGGACTGGATAATATAATTAGGACACAAATTCCCAAGCTGATGTCGCTGGTCCCAACTGACACGGTACATAGAGCCCTCAGCGAGCTGCTGCTCCCATTTTGCATTTGCACTTAGCAGCGACGCAGCTGCAGCAGGAGAGCAATTTATCATTTTCTGCTGCTGGTGCTGCTGCTGCGTGGGGTGTATGTACAGTGGGCCTCTGTGCCGCACACTGCAGCGGACGGCTCGCTGGTGGAAGGAAAAGTTTCTCCTTTTCTGGCTCTTACACAAAGTAGCACAACTCCTTCTTGGGCCATAGACAAATACCTGCATCAACCAGTGGACGTAGAGCTCTACAGAGAGGTGCGTGCAGCCTCCACTTTGACACCTATAAATAATAATACTAAGACTAATAATACCACCGCTAATAATAATAATTACTGTTAATAATACCAATAACAACAGCAATAATAATAGTAATAACAATAATAATGGTACTGATAATTAACTCTTAGTCGCACTGCCCTTTTTGTCTTGTACCACCACGCAAAGCCTTATAAACAGGAGAACATTAGTATCTGCGCATGCAGCTCATTGCGCGCTGACGCATCTGTGGGCATCAAAGAGGATGTGACAAGGAGCGAATTGCCTGCATGCATGCGTGTATGCATGCATGCACGCAGGCACGCCAGCCCCTGCATACATGAATGCATGCATGCATGCCCAGGCGCAGTGTGCGTTTCTGTTTAGGATTTCGAACGGATTGGGCCTGACGCTTTGGGACGCGTTGACGGCTCCCAGGCGAAGGTGGACTTGGTGAAAAGCAAATTGCCGAGTGGCATTTTGCACAGGTTTGCCTAGACTGTGGGGTGGCGGGGGGCCTCTTAGAAAAAGAGGTGGCAGCGGGACTGAGTATTTTCTTGTTTGTTTCGTTTTTCGTGTTTTTCCCATTGTCCTCCGCTGGCGCTGACCCTCTGGCACCATGCATGCACGCATGGATGCATGCATGCATGCATGCATGGATGCATGCATGCATGCATGCATGCAGCCTGCTGCGCATGCACCCATTAAGGAGCATGCATGCAGCGAATGCCCTCATGTTTAGACCCAGCAGGCCGCCAATGCACGCGTGCATGGATGCGTGAATGCATGCATGGATGCATGCATGCATGCATGCATCCACAACCTGAACCCAGGGGCTGTGCGTCGGGTGTGCATGCATGCTTTCGTGTAGGGTTTGGAACTTAGCCGATTTCACCAGAGACGGCTACCTGGACTTGTACGAATATGCTCTGGCGCGGCGCTTTATAGAAATGAAGCTGCAGGGCCTCGAGCTGCCGGCCTCTCTGCCCCCCAACTTGCTGCCAGCTAATTTCCAGCAGCAGCAGCAGCAGCAGCAGCAGACGCTGTCACAGACGTCAGCAGGCAGCATCAGCAACCCACACGCATTCAACTCCACCCCGTCGAGTGAGCCCTAGACTGAATTCTGGTCTCAAATGCAGCAGCAGCAGCAGCAGCAGCAGGAGTTGGGACTGAAGCGCCCGCGTTTTTGCTGCTGTATGCTTATCTTTATGCCTCAAAGGCAGCTTGCGCGCAGCTGCGTGCCTTTGGTGATTCCAAAAACCAACACAAATCTGTTTAACCCTTCTTCTATTTCTTGTAGTCCGCGCTTTTCTCAGTCCAAGTTGCATGCTCAAGGGGCCCCCTCTGTGCTGCTTCAAGACTGAGGGCCCCCCGCCTCTGCCTCTCTGTGTCTGCAGGCGGCGGGGCTGCTCCGGGCAGCAGCTGGGCCCCCCAGACTTCAACAGGGCAAGGGTGTCCGGGTGCCCTGGGGGCCCCCGGCTCAGGGTCTCAGGGGGCCCTGGGTGGGGGCCCCCTGGGTGGGGGCTCCATGGGGGGCCCCCATGGGGACGACGCTGCCTCCTCTGGAGCTGTTTCTCACAGCGCCTCTGCAGAAATATCCTCGCAGAGTGCCTTTATGTAGGGTTTTGTATGGTTTTGAACGTTTCTTTTTGCACATTTAGGTCTATTTGAAAGGCGCTTGGAGGCCCACGCTTGGGGCCGTAGCCCAATGTGTACATCTGTGGCTCTGGACTCTTTTGCATAGCTCTTGTAGGCGTAGGTATATACAAAGAAGTGCGTATGCTTTATCTTTTTCATATATATAGTAATATATATATGTAATGTATATGCTTTATCTTTTTCACATATATAAATGTATATATGCATGTATGAGTGCATTTGCTTGTGCGGATGTCTGTGTGCATGCCTTAACCTGTTCATAAATACAATATTATATATATTTCCATATATGCGTATGTGGGGAGGCCTATGCATGCGCGTGCAAGTGCGCATGCATGCGCACATTTGCATTTCCTTCTGTACGTACACTTCGTGCCTGTGGGGTGTCTGTACACGCAAAGCAAGAATCTTCCCATATGTACATATATGGCCGTTTTGGGGAGTGCATGCCTGCATACATATAAGACATGCGCGTGTTCGTATATGTGTATATATATGTGTATATATACACATATGCGTATCTTTATATGCATTTATACATACGTATATATATAAAAATGTATAGATATAAATGTAATACATGAATACAAATGCACAAATGCATAACAGTTGTATAAATATGTATTCGGTGAACGTGGGCCTAAAGTACATGCAAAGGAGTGTCAGGGTTCGCAGGCAAACCCGTATAAAGTTTACGCGCATGCATATACACATGTGTACACACTGCACTTGTATCTACGCAGCAGCGACTGTGTCTTTTGCATTTAGGGGGCCCCTTTTGAGCCTGTTGAGCCCTCTGGGGTTCCCAGGGTCCACCAGGGGTGACCAGGGGACCCCAGGGTCCACTTTGGGCCCCCGGGGGCCACCAGGGTCCCCCAGGGGCAGCCAGGGGCTCCCAGGGGCCCCATGGGTCCCTGGCCCCAGGGACCACCAGGGGCCCCAAGGGCTCGCCAGGTCCACCAGAGGCCCCAAGGGTTCACCAGGTCCACCAGGACCCCAGGGGCCGCAGCGGCCCCTGGGGGCCCCTGGGGGCCCCCCGGGGCCCATCGGGTGCCCACAAGGCCTTTATGCTGCGCTGGGGCGCCCGCCGGAAATTCGTTGCTGCTCTGTGTTCTGCATGCGCCTCTTAGAGGCAGCCCCGCGGGGTTTTCGGGGGTTTATATTTCTTACTTTCCTTCGTGGCTTTGTTGCTTTTGCCAAAAAGGCCCCAGGTTTTCGGGTGTACGTACAGTTGTCGACTTCGTGCACCCGCGACTGCCTCTTAGGAATCAACCTGCAGAAAGCGGCTTCGAATTTCGATCTTGTGCATTCAAAGATGTCCATTTAAATGCATTTCTTTCCACCTATTGCTTGTAGCACTTTGTGGGTAATATATTTACTGCTTACGGACACAGCGACAACACAGCTGGGTTCCCCCGAAAAACCTAGCTAGACTTGACCGGGGGGCCTCCTCGGGGGCCCCCGTCAAGTCTGGGGGGCCCCCCGTGGGGCCCCCCGTCAAGTCTGCAGGGGTCTCCTAGGGGACCCCGTCAGGGCACAAGTGGGGCAACGTGGGCCACTTGTGGCTGAAGGAGGCTTGGGGGCCCAACAGGATTTAGTTGGACTTCATCAAATGAGCTTAATGGCCTTTTAGGACTTTATCAAGATCACCTTAACTGGAGGGCCTTGTGGCGTTGGGGCCAGCCACTGCGCAGCTAGCTGCAAAGAGCTGCAGCTAGCTCGTGGCTAGTCATGGGTAGGTAAAGATAGCCGCAGACACAAAAAAGAATAGAGCCTTTTGCTGCAGCTAGCGCTGTCGCCATTTAAATTGAGCTGTTGCAGCTAGCCAGCAGCGACTGGCTGCAGATTGGGGGTTTGCACAGCGTTCCCTCCAGTGTCTTCTGCTTTTTAATTCTTCGAAATATAGTTTTAATGTTTTCCTTTAGAATTCGCAATTAATGGATCTAGTTGTTCATCCACTGTGCTACACTTAGGGCTGCGCTCGTATCGGGGGGCCCCATGGCATGCAAGACGTGATGCCCCATAGCCCCTAACGAAATAAGAACAAATATATAAGAACAGATATTTATATATCTAAATTTTTATATTTTTGGATTTATATCTGAGTAAATAGAGATGCAGCATCAGGGATAAGGCAGTTAATGCCTAACTCAAGTCTGGATGAAGGGGTTTGATTTCTGACGCTGCCGAGTTTGTAAGAAAGGAGATTCACTAGAAGTCCTCTGAGGCCTCAAAACCCCCCAGCCGAAGGCCTCAAGGCCCAAACCGCAAGCCCCAGGGCAAAACCCTAAACCCTAAACCCTAAACCCTCAAATGGAGGCCACAGAAGAACTCAAGGAGTTCAAAAAGTACCTGCAGGACGGCTTAGAGGCGCTTGGTCTCGACACAGAGGTATTCGTTGGTCCGTAAGCCTTATAAAAAGGTTTTTAATTTTTTAATTGAATTTTAAATGAATTTTAAGAAAATATTTCCTTATATGCAGCATCTGTAGGCCAAAAGACCCTCAAACCCCAGCCCCGTTAGCCTGAAACACACAGCAGCAGCTGCGGCCAAGGCTGTGGCTGGCTGCACTCAGCCAAAACCCTAAACTCTAGAACTCAAGACCCTAAACCCCAGACCCTAAGCCATTGAGTCCAACCCTAAGGCCGTAGACCCTGAGGCCTAGACCCTACACACTAGTCTAAGCCCTAGACATTAAACCCTAGGTTCCACAGCATAGATCATAAACTCTCGACCTAAAACCCTAAATTGTAAACCCTAGATCCTAAACCCTAGACCCTAAACCCTAGCGGCGGTTGTGGTTTTGCAGAATACATCCTTGGGGTGCTGGAGGCATCTGCTAGCTTGAATTCAGCAGCAAAAGCAGCAGCAGATGAGCAGCAGCAGAAGAAGCAAATACAGCAGGAGCTGCTGGAAACCCTCAGTCTCACTTTAGAAGATAGCGCGCTGCAGCAGCAGCTGCAGGACTTTTGCTGCTCCTGCGCCGCGAGATGGGTGGAAGTGGTGTTGCCCGCAGCAGCGCAGCAGAAGCAGCAGCAGCGGCAGCAAAATCTACAAGCAGTCCTTTCCAGCAGCACAGCAGCAGCAGCAGAAGTGGACGAGCAGCCGGAGGATGAGGCAGCCAGCCGCATTCGGGAGGTGCTGCTGCAGCTGTTGCTTCCGCCGCTGCTGCTGCCGTTGTTGCTGCTGCTGATGCTGCTGCTATTGTTGCTGCTGCTGATGCCGCTGCCGTTGTTGCTGCTGCTACAGCTGCTGCCACTGCTGCTGCTGCTGAAGCGCCGTTAGCTCCAAAGCGCTGCTTCTGCACACGGTGGCTTGCTGCTGCTGTTTGTCGCTGTGTATTAATGCGGAGCTGCTGCTGCTGCTGCTGCTGCTGCTGCTGCTGCAGCGTGTGGTGCAGCAGTATGGATACGAGTTTGACGAAATGGTTGAGTGCGACGAAGAGGGGAAGCTACAGCTCGACAGCAGCAGCAGCAGCAGCAGCAGCAGCAGCAGCAGGAAGCAAGGTGACGACCCTGGGATCTGGTGCAACGACAACAGGGCCAGAGTACAGCAGCACCAAACTAAACCCTAAACCCTCTCACGCCCTTAACTGCCTCAAACCCTAAACCCTCTCAACGCCCAGACCCTCTCAAACACTAGACCGTGAAGTCCATTGAAACCCCAAAACCCTCGCAAAATACAAACCCTCTTAAACCCTAAACCCTTTCAAACCCTAAACCCTAGACAGAATTTCCCAAGTCCCCGTTGCAGTGCTGCCTGCAGGTGCAGCAAGCAGCTCAGGCGGCTCGGGCAAAGGCCAAAGCAGACCACGAGATGTGAGGCTAAGTTTGCTAAACCCTAAACCCTCGCCAAACCCTAAACCCTCGAGAAACCCTAAACCCTAGCCTCTACAAGCTGCCCAGCCGCTGGCCCCCTGCGTATGCGCCGGCTGTGCTGCTGCAGGGAGGTGCAGCGCAACAAGCAGCAGCAGCTGCTGCAGCAGCAGCGGATGGAGAAGGAGAAACAACGGGTAGCTCGTAAGGAAAGAAAAGCAGGCCGCTAGCTGCAGCAGCTGCTGCAGCAACAGCAGCTGCTGCTGCTGCAGCTTACGCGGCTGTTGCAGCTATTGTGTGCTGCTGCAAAGTGGGCTGCAGCCAGACGTGCCGCAGCTACCGCTGCGAAACTAGCAGCAGCTAGCAACTGGCAGCAGCTAGCTGCAGCTAGCTGCAGCTAGCTGCTGCGGCAAGCTGCAGCTAGCTGCGGCTCAGCTAGCTGTGGCTAGCAAAGCCCTGGCTAGCCAAAGCTTCCTCTACAAGTTTTCTGGCAGTGCGGGGGCAGAGCCCAGGGTGTATGGACAGCAGCTCGCCCACGAGCGCCCCGGGCTGCTTCCTGCGGCGCAAACCCTAAACCCTAAACCCTACTTCATTCTGTCGAGCAGACGGATCTCCCGGCTTTGGCGGGTGAGGGCCTAGGGTTTGTGTGGCTTGGGGTTTCTAGGGTTTGCAATTGTGGGGGTTTACTTCTTTGATTTTCTTATGAGCTCTTCAAGAGCCTCCTTGGCTGCTGTTGCTGTTTCCTCTTGCGTTCTCTGCGCACCCAAAGTCTAAACCCTAAACCCTAAACCCTAAACCCTATCGCGCCAGCTGAAGCCTAACCCCAAGTAGCAAGATAAGGCGCTCCCCTTATGCGCTAGCCTGGGTTTAGGGAGGGTTGTAGGTGCAGGGTTTAGGGTTTGAACAGCAAAGGTTTAGGGTTTAGGGTTATAGCAAAGGTTTAGGGTTTAGGGTTAGGGCAGCAATGGTTTAGGGTTTAGGGTTTGTACTGGTTCGGCCAAGAGCTGCTTCGCCTGTGGATCTCCTCTGGCTAGTGCAGCAGCGTAAAGGCGCAGGCCCTGCAGCAGCACAACTCCTTAGGCTCCAAACCCTCAGCCCTAAGCCTTAAACCATAAACCCTAAACCCTAGAATGCAAACCCTTAGAATGCCGCCAGCCTACCTTGTTGCTTAAAGACTTTCTCTCCGCAGCACAAAGCGCAGGGGCCAAATCGCCAGCTCTGCAGCCGCAGAAGCAAAAAATGAAATAAACAAAAGTGGCTGCTGAGCCCCACTCAGCTGTCTATACACCTGAGCTGTCTGTACACCTGAGCTGTCTGTCCACCTGAACTGTCTGTACACATGAGCTGTCTGTACACCTGAGAACCCACTCAATAGGCCTCAAAGGAGAAACCCCTCGAAGGGCTGCGTGAAGATCATTCAAAAGGAAAACTGCACTTCGCACTGGGGGGGCCCCAGCAGCAACTAGCTGCTCATAAAACTCAGCCATCTGAGAGCCGCAGCAGCAGCAGCAGCAGCAGCAGCAGCAACAGCAGCAACAGCAGCGGCATCAACAACAGCTGCAGCAGGCCTTGTCCCGCCCCAGGTCAGGTGCTGCTGCTGCTCCTTATGCGGGAACATCCTGCTTCTGCTTCTGCTTGCTGCAGCCTGCTGCATGAGTGGCTGCTGCTGCTGGGTCAGTGTGGCTGCTTGTGTCTTTTTGACTTCTCTTTTTTCTTTCTTCTTATACTTTTTGTTTTTTATTTTTCTTCTCTACAATTTTTGCTTCTCACTTTTATGTCTCTGGCAATGGCAGTCCGCAGAGACAGCTCAAGACCCCACTGCCGATATAAACTGCGGCGGGACGCCGCGGAGAGCACGAGGCCCCTTCTGCACGCCACACCCTAAACCCTAAACCCTAAACCCTAAACCCTAAACCCTAAACCCTAACCCCACGCCGCAGTCAAAGGGAGGAAGGCAGGCACTGGACAGTGCCCCTAGCAACAACGCAGAGGCACAATGCAAAAAGGAGTAGATTTTGCAAGGGGCACAGAAAGCGGCAGCAGCAGCAGCTGCTGCTGCAGCTGCTGCTGCTGCAGCTGCTGCTGCTGCAGCTGCTGCTGCAGCAGTGCCTGCTTTGCATGCCTGTACCCTCACTTAATTCTTGCCTTCGTCTCCTTGTCAAGAGACACAGGAGGTATCTGCGTCTCCTCAAATGGAAAGAAGACCCAAGACGAATTGACCTTCGAACGCAGTGGCACTGAACGCTGCAGCAAAACACAGACTCCTGCTGCTGCTGCTGCTGCTGCTGTGAATGCTGCTATTCTCGCCGCAGCAGAATGGCATTTTTCCGCAGCTGCGTGTCTGCACCGGCTGCTGCTGCAACAGCACAAGGGGCGGCGCCTGCACAGCGAACAGAAACTGCTAATTCAGCAGCAGCAGCAGCAGCAGCAGCAGCAGCAGCAGCTTTACTTTCAGTGCGTCATCCCAGTGCCGCGTTTCGGGCTCTATCTCCTGCCCCTTTGCAATTATGTCTTTTTGTCTTTTTTCCTCCGCATGCAAAGCGCGGCGAATCGCCCTGAGGCTCCGCACGTTTTTTATTTCCACCTTGACGCATGCACGGCGCAGAAACACAAACCCTAAACCCTAAACCCTAAACCCTAACCCCTAAGGCTCTAACCCTGAACCCTGAACGAGCAGCCCAGGCACTAAACCGCAAATGTACATACAGACCAGCAGCCAGTTGCGTCCCGACAGCTCAGCAGCAGGTGTCTGTACAACTGGAGCTGCTGCGCTGCTGCGCTGCTGCGCTGCTGCGCTGCTGCGCTGCTGCGCATGCAGCCCCACAGCCCCAAATTACCCTCGGGAAGTCTTTGCATGCGTTTCGAGAGCGCAAAGAAACATTCAAGTCGCAGCGGACTCGGCCGCGGGCCATTTCGCCGCGGCAGATGCCTGTAGGCACAGAAAAGGGAAGCAGCAACTTATTTTCATTTATTTCTTAATTTTTAATCATCGTTTTGGTTTTCCCGCTCATCTTTCTCTTTTTGCTGCTGCTCCCTTCGCCTCTTTGCTCCCAAGGAAACCCTTGGGTCCTGCTGCGCAGGGCTTAGAGGCTGCTGCTGCTGCGTCTACTGCATGCAGCAGGTGCTGCTGCAGGGCTTAGGTGCTGCTGCTGCTGTAGAGGAGATACTTAGAAGCACATGCAGCAGCAGCTGCTGCAGCAACGGGAACGGCTTCTTTGCTGCCATGAACACAAGAACTTCAGAGGCAGCAGAGAAAAACGAAAGAGGGGCAAAAAGAAACAAAAAAAAAGAAACTCAGAAAGGAAAAATTAATTAAAAAGGAGATTTAAAAATAAAAAGACACAAAAGACAAGGCCTGGGGCATAATCAAGAAGGGCTCACCCGCATTGCGCAGATCCGTAAACAACTCGTACACAAAGTCGGTTGCTTCCGCGGGAGACAGAGGCTCCGCCTGAACACAGCAGCAGCAGCAGCAGCAGCAGCAGCAGCAGCAGCAGCAGCAACACCAACAGTGGTAGTGGCAACAGCAAAAAAAGCGGCGTTAGAGGGCCCGGTATCACTCATAAAGGGCGCATTAAAGCAGCGACGGCGTGAGGGCTGCATGCAGCTGCAGCTGCAGCAGGTGCAGCAGCAGCAGCTGCAACTGCACCAGCGGCAGCAGCTGCAGCAGCGACGGTAAGGCATAGGAGCATAGTACAAACGCGATAAAGATCGAAACTGAATGAAAATGTGGCAGATATAAAAGATGGGGGGTCAAAGTAGAAAAAGAAAACAAAGTGAACACACAAAAAAGCAAACTCACCCTGGTTACTACTTCTATCAAAGGAGTTCCCGCTCTGTTGCTGTCCAACTCTACATGGCCGTCCTTTAGAAGCAGCAGCAGCAGCAGCAGCAGCAGCAGCAGAGCAGAAAATGAAGCAGCCTACCTCGTTTGCTCGTCTGTCTTTTAACTGCATGCTGCTGCATGCTCATGTTCTCTGCTTCCGAGCTTCATATATTCCATTTTTTACATTAAAAGTTATAATTAGGTGTTTTTATTTGCTGCTAAGGCTGCTGCTGCTGCTTGTCTGCTGCTGCTTCCCCCCACAGGGCTTCGTCTCTGCTGCATTCTTTGGCTGCAGCACAGCCATTTAAACTGGTGTCATTACACCGAAGTAATAACAAAACATTTAATTTTTAAATTAAAGTAAATTAAAATAACTTTTCTGCTCACTTCCCCCCGCTTCATTGTGGCTGTGTCCTCCTCAAGCTGAACTTTCTGAATTTGCACTTTTCGCCCAGAGGGAATTTCGACGAAACCGTCGTAGCCAATCGGGCTGCGAAGAAGGAAACAAATAAATATAAATAAATTAACTAAAACAAATTAAAATCAATTAAAATAAATTAAAATGAACAAAAATAAACAAAAATAAACGAAATTAAGGACAAGTTAAGACAGATGTTTCAATGAAAACATTTGCAAAACTGTAATCCCTAAATTCTAAGCCCTAAACCCTAAACCCTAAACCCTTTATGAACAGAAGGAAACCCGAGGCTACACAGAAACCAACACTTGCCACCCCAAACCCTAAACCCTAAACCCTAAACCCTAAACATTTTTTCCTTTTCAGTGCGTGAACAGGCTTTAATTCACAAAGTGCCAATAATTGCAATATGAATAAAACCACTACGAATAATAAAACATGGCACAGGACAAGATCAAGAAAAATATAAAAATGTTTGAAGTCCTTAAGTAAAGTAGAAAAGAGCCAAAAGACTAAGAAGCTCCGAGTCCGGGAATTGAACCCGGGTCTTCCGCGTGACAGGCGGAAATACTAGCCACTATACTAACTCGGACTGGCAGCAACAGCAGCAGCAGCAGCAGCAGCAGCGTCGCAACTGCAGCCAACCAATTAAAAAAATCAACCCACCGCTCCTGCAGCCACAAGTGCCGCAACAGCAGCAACTAGAGCGCCAGCAGCAAGTGCAGCAGCAACAGCAACTGCTGCAGCAAGAGCACCTGCCGCAGCAACAGCACCTGGCAGTGCAACTGCCGCAGCAGCAGCAGCTGCTGCTGCCGCAGAAGCAGCAGCAGCAGCACTGCCTGCTGCCATCAGAAGACCCACTTGAAAGTCTGCGTAATTTGGTACCGCTTTGCAAGGTCAGGGTACACGTAGCACTTGCGGTCGAAAAGCAGCACGTCAGCTGTGAGCAACAGCAGCAACAGCAGCAGCAGCAGCAGCAGCAGCAGCACGACCATCAATGGCACCAGCAAGGACAGCAGCAAGGGCAGCTTGGTCCCTGATGTGCAGGCAAGGGAAGAGAAGAGCAGCAACATTACCTCGGCGCATTTTAATCTAAACAGTCGCAGCAGCAACAGCAGCAGCAGCAACAGCAGCAGCAGCAACAGCAGCAGCAGCAGCAGCAGCAGCAGCAGTACCGGTGTTGCAATGCATCAGCAGCGCAGCAGCAAGTGCCAACTCGACTGCCTTTCTATTGGGAGAAGGAAGAGCCCCCCCATCTCCCAGGCAAATGGGACAAGTCCTTGAGTTCGGCAAGCAGCACGCGGGCAGCTGCTGCTGCTGCTGCTGCTGCTGTTGCCACCGCTGCTGCTCTTGCTGCTGCTGCTGGATCCACGGCAGCGCCGACGGCGCCTCCTCATGCTCGTGCTGCAGCAGCAGACGCTGCTCTCCCTCAGGCCCCGCAGCAGCAGCAGCAGCAGCAACAGGGGGATACGCCGGGCAGCAGCAAAACGCCTTGCTGCTGGTGGCGAGCTGCACGTGGGCTTCTATCCCAGCTATTAGCTGCAGCCTGCAGAGACACAGCAGCAGCAGCAGCGGTGCAGCAGTGGCTGCAGCTGTAGCAGCTGCAGCAGAAACTCCAAAGGCAGCAGCAGCTACAGCTGCAGCAGCAGCTGCTGCAGGGGACAACAATTCCATACAATAGCAGCAACAGACGCAAGAGTTAGTATGTTTCGCCTGCAGAGGCTTAAGGTAGTCACAGCAGCAGCAGCAGCAGCAACAGCTGCGTCTGCTGCAGCTTGTGCTGCTCACGCCTACTCTTCGTCTGCAGAGCTTGCCGTCCCTCCGCCGATACTGCTGTTGGTGCTGTTGCTGCTGCTGCTGCTGCTGCTGCTGCTGCACCTGAGGCGCTGCTGTACGAGAGTCTGGCGTACGGGAAGCCGGGGGTAACCCGCACAGGCAGCAGCAGTTGCTGCTGCTGTAGCCACAAGAGGAGCAGCAGCTGCAGCAGGAGCTGCAGCAGGAGCCGCAACATCTGTGCGAATAAAGCACGGCGAGGGCACCCTAGCCATGAGAGTGGGCTGCATGTGCAGCAGAAGGAGCAGCAGCAGCAGCAGCAGCAGCAGTTGCTGCTGCTGCTTCGGCCGCTGCTGCATGTTTGCTGCAGCCATGCCTTCGCTGCTGGTCCTACGAGCAGCAATTGCTGCTTCTCCTGCTGCTACAGCATCGGCTTCGTTCTACAGTGGCCGCAGCAGCTGAGTTGAAGAGCTCCGAGCAGCAATTACAGTAACAGATGTAGCTGCAGCAGCAGCAGCTGCTGCTTTAGCAGCAGCAGCTGCAGCAGCACTGCAGCAACTGCTGCTGCAGCAGCTACTTAAGCAGCAGGAGCCGCAGCCGCCGCTGCAGCGTAGAGAGCCCTGCAGGTGAGGCCTTTTGATAGCTGGGACTGCTGCAAGATCACATTGTGCGCCGCGAGGACTAAGCAGCAGCAGCAGCAGTGGCAGCAGCAGCAGCTGCTGCTGCCGCGGGAGCGGCAGGAGCAGCACCAGCAAGCGAGGACTTTTTGTGCACAAAAAAGCTTTAATTTGAATTCTAGTCTCTTCTGCTCCACCTGCGCATTTGTCAATAATATTTCAAAGGCCTGAGGGTAATTCAACCTGATCACTGGGGGCCTTACGGATGGCAGCGGCAGCAGCAGCTGCTGCTGCTGCTGCGGCTGCTGGTGTCTTGCATGTTGCAGTGATACCGGGTTCTCCAAGACTGTATATACACCTGAAACGATTGATTTGCAAGCTTCTCCTTTCCTGTTTGCGCTGTAGACACGCTCAGAACTGCAACAACTTCGGTTTCAGGACTACAGCAGCAGCCCCAGCGGTAGCAGCAGCAGCAGCAGCAGCAGCAGCAGCGGCAGCGGTGGCAACAGCAGCAGCAGCCCATAGTCCCTCGTAATTTTCCCGTTTTTAACGCCATTTCTTTGCTGTAGGAGCTGCTACAGTATGCGGAGGGTGCCCCAGTAGCGGGAAGACGAGCAGCTGCAGCAGCAGCAGCTAGAGCAGCAGCTGCAGCAGCAGCTGCAGCAGCAAGCGGCACCAGATAAGGGATGACGCATAGCTGTCAGCAGGATCAGCAGCAGGACGTCATATATCGTATTGAGCGGCTCAGAAGCAGCAGCAGCTGAAGCAGGGGAGAACAGCAGCAGCACGGATTCTTGCTAGCAGCAGAAAGCACACACATTCTGCAGATGACGCAGTAACAGCAGCAGCAGCAGAGACAGCACTGCGTCAGCTGTTGCCTTCAGGGCTGCGGCGGCAGCTTTCTGTGACGGCTGCGGTGCAGGAGCAGCAGCTGCTGCTGCTGACGTCAACACCCACCGCTGCTGCTGCTGGCCTGCAGCAGCAGCAGCAGCTGCTGCTGCAGCAGCAGCAGAAATGTGGGGCTCCACGCGGCGAGGCCCTGGGAGAGGCCGTGAAGTGGCTTTAAACCCCAGTGATGAAGAACGAGCAGCAACAGCAGCAGCAGCAGCTGCTGCTGCTGCTGCAGAGTCAGATAATGACCGCCTCGATAGTGGAGATGTGCTGTTCGATGCTGACGAGGATAGCAACGAAGAAATAGATAACCTCGCGTTTGGTGAGTGCAGCAATAGCGGCAGCAGCACCAGCAGCAGCCGCAGCAGCCGCAGCAGCAGCAGCGGCAACTGCAGCCACAACAAGAGCAGCAGCAGCAGCAGCAGCAGTAACTGCAACCACAGCAAGAGCAGCAGCAGCAGAGAAGATTGCTGTTTCAATAGCACATGTTCCCTTGTAGGACGAACGTTGCAGCAAGACAGCAGTGCCTAGTTTGCAGCAGCAGCAGCAGCTGCTGCTGCTGCTGCTGCTGCTGCATGTGGCCTAGGAGCTGCGCTGCATGTGTGTCCGCTACAGGAAGTGCTGTTGAGATGCAGCCGCGGGTGTTGGGAAGGCCCACTGACGCAGCAGCAGCAGCAGCATCAGCAGCAGCTTCAGCAGCAGCAGGTGACCCTCTTGCTGCTGACACCCAAGTGGCTTCTCGAGCAGGCCCCATGGCTTGGATGCGGCGGCTGCTGCGGCTGCAGCTGCCGCAGCAGCAGCAGCAGCAGCAGCCGCTGCAGCTACGAGCCCCCAGGAGGCGCCGCAGGAGATATGAAGCTGTCATAGGGGAGGGGGTGCACGCGGAGGACACTCCTGCTGCTGGCTTGGAGCAGCAGCAGCAGCAGCAGCAGCAGCAGCAGCAGGAGCTGCCTCTGCAGATCGGCAGCAGGAGCAGCAGCGTCAGCAGCAACGCCAGCAGCAGGAGCAGCACGGATCGCAGCAACGCGGACTTTCCTGCAGCTGCTGCTCCTGCTGCTGCTACCGCGCCTGCTGCTGCTACTGCTGCTGCTGCTGCTGCTGAGGGGGGCATCATGGCTGCGATTCGTCGGGCACAAGCACTGCTGCAGGAGGGCCGCGCAGCACCAGCAGCAGCGCCAGCAGCAGCAGCAGCAGCAGCAGCGCCAGCAGCAGAAGCTGAAGCAGCAGCAGCAGCAGCAGACACCAGTGCAGGTGACAGCAGCAGCACGGAAGGCCCGGTGCGCCGGCTGTGGCGGCGGCTGCGGGAGCGCGTGAGCGGCGGCTTCGCAGCAGCAGACCCTGCAGCAGCAGCAGCAGCAGCAGAAGCAGCAGCAGCAAATCTCCAAGAAGAAGAAGAAGACTACTATGATGACCCCCGCTGCCAGCAGCTGCTGCTGGCCACAGGCTTTCTTTGCTGGGCTCCAATCCTTTGGGTTTTGGGCTGTCTTTTGTTCTTTGTCACCCCACGCGAGTTCCGCAGAACCCGAAAAGTAGGCCTTGCTGCTGCTGCTGCTGCTGCTGCTGCTGCTGCTGCTGCTGCTGTTGCTACTGCTGCTGCTCTTGCTGCTGCTGCTGCTGCTGTTGTTGCTGCTGCTGCTGCTGTTTTTGCTAGTGGTGGTGGTGGGCTCGCTGCTGGTGTGGATGCTGGTAATGATGCTGCTTTTGCTGCTGCTGTTGCGCTTGCTGCTGCTGCTGCGGAGTGCGTGCTCTAAGCACCTGCGAGGCCCCTTGCTGCTGCCGCCTGCCAGCTAGCTATCTAGCTAGCTAGCTAGCTAGCTAAGCAAAGATGCGGTGCCAGTTGGGTGCAGCTTGCTAGCTAGCCGGGTGCACCTAGTTAACTAGCTACTTGGCGAAGCTAGCTAGCTAGTTATCTGGCGCAGCCAGCTACCTGACGCTGCTAGCTATCTAGTCGGGGGCAGCTAGCTAGCCAACGTTCTGGCCAGCTAGCCAGCTAGCTACAGATCTGGCTAGCTAGCGACCTAGCTAGCTAGTGACCAAATTAGCTAGCCAGCGACTAGCTAGCTAGCTAGCGACGTAGATAGCTAGCAAGCGACCCAGCAAGCGAGCAAGGGGCCAAGCTGGCTAGCGATGCTTCTAGCTAGCTAGCTAATGACGTACCTAGCTAGCTAGTCAACGACTTGGCTAGCCAGCTAGCTAGCTAGCTAGCCACGACTGTGATGTGTGCTTCAGTGGGCTGCTGTGAACATGGTGGTCGTTGCTGTTTTCTTTTTTCTTTACGGCGCTCGCCAGATTGATGAAAAAGGCCCCAAGTGAGAGCGAAACCCAAAGAGTTTTTTGTCTTTTTTGTCCCTTTTTGTCTTTTCTTTTTCTTTTTCATTTCTTTTTTTCGTCTCTTTCATCTCCTTTATCTGTTTGGTCCCTTTGTGTCTGTTTTTGTCCCTTTTGGTCTCTTTTTTCTCTTTTTTCCGTCTCTTTAGCTGCCTTTTCGTTCGTTTCGAATCTACCCCTGAATCGCTCGGGTGTCTGTACACCTCGTGCACAGGACCGAGTGCACTGCGTCTTTCGGTGTGGCTTTTCGTGTGGAAGTCAGATTTTTTATATTTGTTTTAAATGCTTTTAAATATATTTTATGCATTTATTTCGCGCTTTTATACTTCTGCTGTCGAATAGTCCCGTTGGAGCTGCTCTTGACGATTTCCGTATGCGCAATTCGCGCGGTGTACATACAGCTCACGCAGCCACACCTAAAATTCGGCCTTTTGGAGTCCTCATGAATATTATATATATATATATATATACATAGAAATATAAGTTTATATTCTATTTAATTACATATGTAATATGTATAATATATACTTGTCTCTGTGCTCATAAGCTAATTCGAAATCAATATTCTAAGGTGGCTTCAATGCATATTGCCCACTGTACACATGCTGGAGGCACTTAAGAGCATTAACAATAATGTAAAAATATTTATTTATACATGTGTTCATATATATAAATATAAATACTTAGATATTTATATGTATTATATGGACTCGAATATTCGCGCATGCATCTGCCTTTATTGCCCTCTCAGGACTCCCCGCGTGGTCTACTTTGGCAGGGAAGATCTGCGGCCTTTGTGGCAAGGCAAGCCCTAGTGCAGCAGCAGCAGCAGCAAGAGCAGCAGTTTACATGACAGAAGACCCCTGGGGAGCTGCTGCCTCTATTGCTGCTGCTGCTGCTGCTGTTGTGCTCTGCAGCTCGCATCCCACAACCTGTGTCATCAGGCATCATCTGGGAGGTCGTCGGCGGGCGGCTCCAGAGTAGGCTGTCCACAGCAGCAGTGGCAGCAGCAGCAGCAGCGACGGCAGCAGACTCAGCAGTAGCAGCAGCAGCAGCAGCAGCAAATAAGGGAGCAGCAAGCTCGCATGCTGCGTTTGGACGCTGCAGGGACAAAGCTCTACCACATCGACTCAGACACAGCCCTTGAGCTCCAAGGCTGGCAGCCGCTGCTGCTCCCCGAGCAGCAGCAGCAGCAGCAGCTGCATAAGCCTCTCAGGATCGTCAAGTAGGGACCACTTGCTGCTGCAGCTGCTGCATTTGCTTCGTGGCAGCAGCAACTCAATACGCGTGCTGCGCTGACTCCCATGGCGGGCTGGAGTGCACCTGCAGCTGCCACTACTGCAGCCGCTGCTGCTGCTGCTGCTGCTGCTGCTGCTGCTGCTGCTGCAGGTTTAATTTGGACGACTGGCTGGATGGGGACTGGGGAGATGAGACTGTGCTGGGCCCCGAGCCGGGGGATCTGAGGGGCCCTTTTGCTGCTACTGCGCTGCAGTAAGTGCTGCAAAGGAGACAGAAGCAGCCACAAAGAAAGATCCAAGGGGACCAACTGCAGCCCAACAGCACAAAAGCTCGTGCTGCTGCTGCTGCTGCTGCTGCTGCTGCTGCTGCCCTTGTCGTTCGCAGGAGTCCTGCAGTCGTGGTGACGGGTCGCGTGCAGTTCGCTGCTTCTTTTGTTGCTTCCTTCGCCGACGCAGCTGCTGCTGCTGCTGCTGCTGCTTCAGCAGATGCAGCACGTGATATGCACGACACAGCGAGGCCCACGAGTGTCTTCCCGACGGATATCTCCGTAGAGGCGCTGCCAGCAGGACTCAGCGAGTAAGTGCAGCAGCAGCGGCAGCAGCAGCGGCAGCAGCAGCAGCAGCAGCAGCAGCAGCAGCTGTAGACGTGCTGTGCAGATGCTGACTAAGTTTCTATTTACTTGCTGCCAGCTTGCGTCTAATCCCTTAAGCGTCATTTTCTCATATATCCATTTCACTCCACCTATCGTCACCAGCAGCAGCACCAGCAGCAGCAGCTGCAGCAGCAGCAGCAGCAGCAGGTTTGCTTCTCTTGTCCGCAGGCTGGCCTCTGGGTATTCTGGGGCCGCCCTGCGGTGTGTTCCAGTTCCCCTAGAAGTTGCTGAGGGTTTGACTTGGGGTTTGCTGGATGGCGAGGAAGATGAGGCTGAGCAGCAGCCGCTGCTGCTGCCTGTAGATTTGCTGCTGGCTGCTGCAGCAGACCAGCAGAAATCCGACACCAAATGGGTGCTTCTGCCTCCCAAGCAGCTGCAAAACGGCAGCACCAGCAGCAGCAGCAGCAGCAGCTGGGGGGCTTTTGCTGCCTCCAAGGTTCTTGCCTTTAGGCGCAAGCATGCATGCTCTCTTGTTGTGCTCTACACGCCCCCGCAGCAGCAGCAGCAGCAGCAGCAGCAGCTTTCGAGGCAGCATCCCCAAGTGTACGTGCGTTCTCTTGTTCTCAACCCATTGCCTTAAGATGTGCAATGTGGCAGCAGCAGCAGCAGCAGCAGCAGCAGCAATTAGACGCAGCACCTGCTTTGATGGCTCCCCACTGGAGGCCTTCTTTGTCTTGATGCTGCTGCAGCTTTGCTGCTGCAGCTTCGCCTATAGAATTCAGCATCTTTTGCTGCAGGGCTTTGCAGGCCCTCAAGGCTTAGGGTTTGGTGCTGCGAGGGTTTAGGGTTTTCAGCTTCGAGGGTTTAGGGCTAGCTGAAGTCTTTCTATTTAGGGTTTAGGGTTTAGAATGGCTTCGAAGCGCGCGGAGGACCTGCAGCACGCTGCTGCAGCTGCCGCTACGGGGCCCCTCTCCCTTGCTGCTGCTGTTGCAGTTGTTGCTGCAGTTGCTGCTGCAGCTGCACTGTTGCTGCTTCACAGTGGGTCGCTGTGTGTGTAGCACTTTCTTCATCTGCATGCAATCAGCAGCAGACTGGAGTGCAGTGTATGTACATATCCCTAGACCCGATGACTATAGGATACAGAACAGACTGGTGCAGCAGCAGCAGCAACAACAGCAGCAACAGCAGCAGCAGCAACATCAGCAAGCAGTGGCAGCCACGGCGCTAAGTGAAGCCCAGGCCTTTGCAGTGCATTGCCGGCCTCAGTGAACCATTGGTCCACTATATGCATGCACTTAGGTGGAGTGTGTAAAGAAGAAAATGTAAAAGGAATTCTGGGGGTTAGCCTAGGTGTGCCTTTGCAGCAGCAGCAGCTGCTGCTGCTGCTGACCTTCAGCTGCTGCAGCCTGGTTGTATCTGCATCTGCTGCTGTTGCAGCAGGCTGCTACTTTAAGGCTTGCGCGCAGCTTTTAAGCTACTGTCAACCCCTCGCTGCGCTTGAACTCACTGAGTCCTTCGCGTAGGGTTTAGGGTTTAGGGTTTAGGGTTTAGGGTGTAGCGCCTGCGGAAAAGACTTCAGGACAATGGAGTGGCCCTTCAAGCAAGTTTTGTGCCCACACTGGCTGCAGCTTTCTAGCGGAAGACAGCTTGCTGCTTTGGCTGCTGCTGCAGTTGCTGCTGCTGCAGCAGTTGTTGCAGTTGCTGCTGTTGGTGCTGCAGCAGCTGCTGCAAAGGCAGCGTTTGGGCGCCGCAGATTGCTGCCTGCTGCCTCGCCCGCTGCATCATCACCTCGAAGTGCTGGTGCTGCATTTTGTTGAACGCCTCCAGCTGCTGCTGCTCGAAGCTGTGCCGCTGCTGCTGCTGCGCCCCAGCAGGTGCAGCAGCAGCGCCTGCTGCGTCTGCTGCAGCATATTCCACGTGCTGCTGCACCACGTGTAAAGGGACATGAACCAGTTTAGGAACATAAATATCGACTGGGACTAAGTAAGGCCGCAGGCGAGTCAGCTGCACAGGGTGAGGCTTTGCTGCTGCTGCTGCAGCTGCTGCTGCTGTTGGGCTCCCCGTACTCCGCGCCACTGCAGCAGCAGAAGCGACATCCAAAACCTGGGCTTTTGCTTCCGACTGCACCACGAGCCTCCCGTCTGGCAGCAACACGGGGTGCTGGTTTGCTGCTGCAGCAGCAGGGCTCGCACCGTGGGCCGCCTGCTGCGCCATCGGGCGACGGTGCTGCTGCTGCTGCTGCTGCTGCTGCTGTGGCCCAGCAGCAGGTAAAATTGTGGCTGGGAATAGCCCTGGCGTGGCGGATCTTCTTCTGGCTGCACCGTAAACAAGCGCTTGCTGCTTCATGCTGCTGCTGCTGCTGCTGCTGCTCTTGCTTGTGGGGGTGGGCGTTTGGCTTCTAAAGCGGGCAGCAGCTTGCTGCTGCCCCTGCAGCTCGCTCTGCTCCTGGCGCTGCTGCTGCTGCTGAAGCTGCTGCAGCATCTGCTCACAGGCGTCGTACTGCATCCGCGACTGCAGCTCCTGCAGCATGCGCTGCTGCTTGTAGAGGGGCAGCTGCTGCTCCTGCTGGGGCTGCTGCAGCAGCTGCTGCGGCCCCTGCAGAAGCTGTGGTTGCTGCGCTTGCTGCTGCCAGGTCTGAGTCTCCTTGTCCGTTTGCGCATGCGTGTGCTGCTGCTCCCTAATTGTCTGCTGAAATTCCTGCTGCCGCTGCTGCTGCTGCATTTGCTGTTGCTGCTGCTGCTGCTGCATTTGCTGTTGCTGCTGTTGCTGCTGCTGCTTTGCAGGTAAGTCGAGTTTAGGCATCAGCACAGAAGACACAGAGCCCAAGAAACTGTCGCCTCGAATTGCACTTGTTGCTGTTGAAGTGGTGCTGCTGCCGCTGCGCAGCAGCTCCTGCTGCAGCTCTTTTTGTCCCTTCTGCTGCTCGTAATGCTGCTGCTGCATCCCTTTGCCTACATTAGAAGATGCTGCCGCAAGATGCTGCTGCAACAGCAGCAGCTGCTGCTGCTGCTGCTGGACTTCTTCTTTAACCTGCTGCTGCTGCGGGTATGGATCAGCAAGCTGCTGCAACTGACGCGCAGGACCACCTGGAAGACATCCATGGGCGCCTCCGCATAAGTTTTTCTGCTGCTGCTGCTGCTGCTGATATTGCTGTTGGTGCTGCTGCATATTTTGTTTGTTGAGCTCTTGCTGCACCCGCTGCTGCAGCTCCTGGTGGTGCTGCTGTTGCTGCTGCTGCTCACGTTCTTGTTGGCACTGCAGCAGGAGCTGTTGCTTGTGAGCCAGAAGCAGCTGCAGGTGCTCCTGCTGCTTTTGCAGGTTCGCACGCTGCTGTTTTATTTGCTGCTGCTGCTGCTGCAACAGCTGCCTCGTTCGCTGCTGCAGCAGCTGCTGCTTCTCGTGCTGCTGGCCGTAAAAGCCAGCAGCTGCAGCAGCAGGCAAACGCCGCGCAGGCGGGGTAGGGGGAATGCCAACGCAGCGGCGGCTGCGAAGTGCTGCTGAGGGGTAGACTGGGATTGCTGCTGCTGCTGCTTCCTTGGCATAGCTGAAAATGCTGCTGGTGCTGCTGCAGTTGCTGCTGCTGCTGCTGCGGCTCCCGTTGCTCCCGCTGCTCAGACGATGAGCGGCAAGAGTGCGCGAAGGCCCAGAGAGCTCGTTGCTGGGCTGCTGTAGCTGCTGCTGCCTTTGTTGCTGCTGCTGCTGCTGCATTTGCTGCTGCTGCTGCATTTGCTGGTGGACTTGCTGCTGAATCTGCTGCTGCACTTTCTGCTGTGCCTGTTGGTGCTGCTGCTGCAGAAGTGACAGCTGCCTCTGCTGCTGCTGCTGCCACAGAGACAGCTGCTGCTTTTGCTTCTGAAGTAGTAAAAGCTGGTGTTGCTGCTGCTCCTGCTGCTGTTGCAGCAGCGTTAGCTGCTGCTCCTGCCTCTCCAGCTGCTGCTTGTGCTTCCTTCTGTTTGCTGTTATATCGTATCTGAAGGGGTCCGCAGCAGCAGCGGCAGCAGTATCACTGGCGTCTTCATCAGCAGCAGCAGCAGCAGGCGCTGCAGTAGTGGCAGCTACAACAGGGAAACATGCAGCAGGATCTGCTGCTGCAGCAGCAAGGCCACGGGGAGCCTGCTGCATTGTAAGGGCAAGGCGGTTCACGATGCTGCCAGCTACAGCAGCAACGTCTACTCCGTGTAGTTCCAGCTGGGCCTGAGCAGCAGCAGCAGCAGCAGCAGCAGCAGCAGCAGCAATGGCCACAAGAAGGGTCTGCGCTGCCTAGGCAACTCCTGCATAAGCTAGACGAGAACAGTGGCTGCAACGGATTCAGCAGCAGCAGCAACAGCAGCAGCAGCGGTTTTGGCAACAGCAGCAGCAACAGCAGCAGCAGCGGTTGTGGCAACAGCAGCAGCAAGAGCAGCAGCAGCAGCAGCAGCTCCAACAGCAGCAGCATGACTTGCTTGACTGTTTGAGAGGCGGTTTGTGAAGTTTAGCCGCACGGACTGCAAGCTGCTGCTTGTGCTGTTGCTGCAGTTGCTGCAGGTGCGTCTGCTGCCGACGTTGCTGCTCAAGCGGGTGCCCCGGAGGGCGCCTAGACGCGTCACCTGCTGCTGCTGCTGCTGCTGCCGCTGCTGCTGCCGCTGCTGCTGCCGCTGCTGCTGCCTGGAACGGGAGTGCTGACTCTTTGAAAGGCTCGAGGTTGTTTGGGGAGACCCATCAGCTGCTGCTGCTTCTGCTGCGTCTGCTCCAGCATCAGCAGCAACAGAATTGGCATCAGAAAGAGTAGAAGGAGAGATAAGAGAGGCAGCAGGAGTTGCTGCTCCTGCTGCTGCTGCTGCAGCTGCAGCTGCAGAGACCGCGCTGCTAGCCTCGGACTCCTCCATTGTGCTGCAGGGAGGCCTGAGGCCCTGGCTGTGCTTCTCAGCAGCTGATGAGCAGCAACAGTGTCAGCTGAGCTGCTGCTGCAGCGGGAGGAGCTGCCGAAGCTGCTGCTGCTGCTGCTGCTGCTGCTGCTGCTCGACCTGCTGCTGCGGAACAGAGCAGCAGGCAGACTAGCTTTTGTAAAATAGGTTAGAGGTGTGAGTCTTCAGGTGTACGTACACCCGAAGACAACCAAAATTAAGAAAAAGCAGCAGCTGCTGAGACCCCAGCGAGACTAAAGGGGGGCTCTGCTGCTGCTGCTGTGAGCCAGGTGACCTTACACCTATCTCCCTGCTGCTGTCGTTGCAGCAGCAGCAGCAGCAACGGCAGCTGCTGCTGTTTTTGCTGTTTTGTTTTTAAGTTAATAAATTTTGTGTCTTCCTTATTTGCTTCTCTCCCCCAACTCAATTTCAGTGTCTTCTTGTGGGGCAGGAGAGCAGCGCAGCCAGCCCAGAGACAGCCGTTAGGGTTTAGGGCTTGGGGTTTAGGGTTTAGAGTTTAGGGTTTAGGGTTTAGGGTTTGAAGTTTTGAAACCCAACTCAAGGCGAAGTTTTGCAGCAGCTGGCCCCCATTTATGAGGGTTTAGGGTCTAGGGTTTACCTGGTCGCCGGCCGTGTGCGTCTCCGTCGCCTCCCAGGGTGACCGCTGCAGCGGCAGCCATAAAATGAGTGAAACTAGGGTTTAGGGTTTAGGGTTTAGGGTTTTATGGGTCTATCAAATCAGAAAAAGGATTAAAAATCAGAAAACAGGGCAGCAACAGCAGCAGCCCCCAGTCCGCCCCGCGCCGCCCAGCTGAGACAAACAAAAGTTGCAATTTTTCCCCCCTAAGTTTTGTGGCTGTCCCTTCCTGCTTCTGAGGCCCTTGGGGCCCCGCCGTTGCTGCTGCTGCTGCTGCTGTTGTTGGCAGCAGCAGCAGCAGCAGGCCGCTGCTGCAGTGACACGCGGGGGAAGCAGAAAAGCAGCCACAGAGCGCAACTCAGAGAGAAACAAGACAGCATCAAGAAAAAACAAAACAGGAAGGAACAGACAAAAGGAAGAATAATAAAGACTTTCTTGGGAAGGAGCAAAAGAAGAAAACAAAAGAAAAGAAAAAGAGAAGCTAAAAAAAGCAAAGAAAGAGCCGTAGGCGCCACCCCACAGGCCGCTGTTGGGGTGTACAGACACCTCGCGCCGTCGCCTCTGCAGCCTGAGCTGTATGTACACCTGAGAGGCACTGGCGTCTTCAGGGAGAGTAAAAGGAACATAGGAGATAAGCAAACAGACAGCCAAATAGCAGCAAATAGAAACAACAGTGGATGGATATTGCAGCAAAAGTAGAGGCAAAGGGAGAAAGGAAAAGTCTTCAATAATTGAATGGGGAAATCTCAAAAAGAAACAAAACGAAAATAACACAGAAAGATCAGACAAGCCATTTAGAGGTGGCTGAGAAGGGTTTTGAAAGGCCACACAAGCTCAGATACAAGCGGCAGCAGCAGCAGCAGCAGCAGCAACAGCAGCAGCAACAGCAACAGCGCAAGACCGGACAAAAGCGGCAGCTCGACGCAGATAGAAAGCAGCTGCTGCACAACCAAATGCGCAGCCAGCAGCAGCTGCTGCTGCACAAATCCTTACAGCTACAGCAGCAGCAGCAGCGGCAGCAGCGAAAAATCAGCAGCAGCAAAGCAGCTGCAGCAACGCAAAGAACATCGTCAGCTTCACTACCAGGAGCGGCAATGACCATAAGCACTAGCTGCAGCAGCAGTAGCAGCAGCAGCAGCAGCAGCAGCAGCAGCCCAAAGAGCACCACGAGCCCAGAACCACCAGCTAGAGGAGCAACGGCCTCACCAGCAGCAGCAACAGCAGCAGCAGCAGCAGTAACAGCAGCAACAGCAGCAGCACGTGGGGATGGTTCGCTGTTCTTGCTGCAAGTGCCACCCCTGTCGAGCTTGCTGCGGCTTTTGTTACCGCAAGCGGCGCGAGAGGAAGGTCTATGGTAAGTTTCACTTTTTAATCATTTTTAAATCTTTTTTGTCACTTTTTGTTTCTTTTTGTCTCTTTTATCTCTGTTATTTCTTTTTATATTTTTAATCTCTTTTGATCTCTTTAATCTCTCCAACTTTGTTATTTCGATTTGCTTCCGTTGCTTTTTGCTGCTTCTTTTTTCCTTCTCGCATTTTTTCGCTGTGTTGAACAAACTGCACTCAACTATGAAACTGAAAATGAATTAATAAAAAATGTTCATTTCGAATTTGAAACTGAAAATGAATAAATAAAAAATGTTCATTTCGAATTTCGAATTTATTTGCGTCTGTTTGCATATTCATAAAGGTGCAGTGTTAATTATGCATTTGCATATTTGCTGCTGCTCGCGGCCGCCTATCCTTGCCACTCTACAGCTGCTGCTGCTGCTGCTGCTGCTGCTGCTCCTTCCTCACCTACCTTGCCGCTCCTTCTGCCATCTCCGTTTCTCCTGCTGCTGCCAAAACAGCAGCAGCAGCAGCTGCTGCTGCCGCTGCTGCTGCTGCACTGTTCACGTCCCCCATTCCCCGCTTCTTCCCCACCCAGCGCACCTCCGTGCCTCCGCCGCGGCTCCTGCGACTGCCGCCGCCGCCCCACACCTGCTGCTGCTGCTGCTGCTGCTGCTGCTGCTGCTGCTGCTGCTGCTGCAGCTCTGTCCGCCGTAGACCCGCTGTGCGAGCACCGGCGGAAGAGCCGGCGGCGCGCGCGGCGGCGGCGGAAGCGGCAGCTGCGGCGGCGGCGGCTGTGCGTGCGGGGAGTGCTGGTGGACAGAGCGCACTGTTTGCTGCTGGAGACAACAAGTAGAATGCGAAGTCAAGTTTTGCGGACTTCCGTGAAGAAGTTGAAGCATTTGAAGAAGGTTTTGATGAAAGAAATCGCCCAGGTGGAGGGGCCCCTCTGGTGCGTCGAGAAAGTCCTGTACCCGAGGCCCTTCTGCATGCGCCGCTGCGTCCGCAGGAAGAAGTACCGCTGCAGACTGCAGCAGCAGCAAATTGAACTTGCATGCATTCACCTGCAGCAAGCCATCAAGGCTTACCTGCGGTGGGCCGGGCCGGACTTCCGGAAGTTCACAGCAGCGCGGCAGGCCTTGGGGGACAAGCTGCCGCGGATGTGCGCGCGGGTGAAGTGCGGCTGCTGCTGCAAGTGCTGCTGCAGCTGCTGCTGCTGCCTCTACTGCTGCTGGAAGTGCTGCATGCGCTGCTGCAACTGCTGGCGCTACCCCTGCTACAAACTCACTTACTGCTGCCGCAGCCACCCCGAAATGCTGCAGCGGCGGGCCGTCTGCAGGGCGCTGTGCGAAACGCTGGAGAGCGAGCTGGAGCTGCTGACTGCGCACTTGGCAGCTAGCTGCTGCTGGCTAGCTCGCAGCGGGCTGCAGCAGCAGCTAGCTGAGCTAGCTGTGGCCCGCGCCCACCGCTTCCTCAACGCTGCCCGCAGCAAACTCCACCAAGTCCACTTCACTCTCTGCGAAAGACCCAGCACTGTGTCTCAGAGGCTCGTCGAGGCCACTCTCCACAAAGCCCAAGACGACTTGGAACAGGCCAAGGCCATCATAGGGCCCCTCCCCTTCAGGGGCCCCCGGCCCCACGACAGGGGCCCCCGCGAGCACCAGCTGCTGCAGCTGCCCCCCGAAGACGGGCTCGTGGCGCCCCACGCGCAGGGGCTCGAGCCCCCCCGAGTTCCCTTCCCGCTGCTCCGCACGCCCTTCTCCTACAGCTGCTTCTAGCTAGCTAGCTAGCCAGCACGGCAGTGGCTAGCCAGCGGCGGAGAGTAGCTAGCCAGCATGGCCAGCCCGCAAGGGAGTGGCTAGCCAGCAGGAGAGTTGGGCTAGACCCTCTTTCCCCTTCTCCGCACGCCCTTCTCCTACAGCTGCTTTTAGCTAGCTAGCCGACAGGGCAGCGGCTAGCCAACCGCGGAGAGTAGCTAGTCAGCGGGGGAGCCTGGCTAGCCAGCGGGGGAGTAGCTACTCAGAAGGGGAGAATAGCTGGCTAGCAGGAGAGTTGGGCTGGACCCTCTTTCCCCTCCTTCGCACGCCCTTCTCCGACAGCTGCTTCTAGCTAGCCAGCAGGGGAGTGGCTAGCCAGCGGGAGACCCTGGCTAGCCAACAGGGGAGTGGCTAGCCAGCAAGGGAGTGGCTAGCCAGCGGGAGACCCTGGCTAGCCAGCAGGGGAGAGTAGCTAGCCAGCGGGAGAGTCTGGCTAGCCATCAGAGGAGTGGCTAGCCAAAGGGAGAGCATGGCTAGCCAGCGGGACAGTGGCTAGGCAGAAGGAGGGCCTGGCTAGCCAGCAAGGGAGTAGCTAGCCAAGTGGAGTAACTTGCTAGACCCTCTTTCCCCTCCTATGCACTTCCTCCTCCTACAGCTGCTTCTAGCTAGCCAGCACGAGCTAGCTGCAGCTAGCCGCAGCTAGCTGCAGCTAGCCACTTCTGGCCGCTGAAGGGGACATGTCTTGGCAACGAAGATAAAGCCAAGTGCTTCCAAGCAGCCATGGCTAGCTGCAGACGGCAGCAACTAGCTGCTGCCAGATGCCACAAGCAGCAACTAACTGCTGCTAGCTGCAGCTAGCTGCAGCTTCCGGTTACTTGCCGCAGCTAGCTGCTGCTGGCCGTAGCTGCTGCGTCTGGCCATACCTAGCTGCGGCAGCCTGCAGCTATCTGTTGCTAGCTTCAGTTTGCTGCTGCTAGCTGCAGCTAGCTGCTGGCTAGCTGCTGCTAGCTGCAGCTAGCTGCTGGCTAGATGCTGCAGGCTGCAGCTAGCTGCTGCTGCATGCAGTTTTCCGGAACAATTTGCTCACCGGAGATCTCAGGAGAACCTGCAGCAGCAGCAGATTTTTTAATTTCCGAAGGCAGCAGCAGCAGCAGCAGCAGCTAAATGCGCTCTTGCTGGTCTCCTGCTGCTGCTGCAGCTCTGTTGCTTCCTAGGTCTTCTTGCGCTCCTGTCCTTTTGCGTTTTTGTCTTTTTAATTTTTTTTTCTCCATTTTATCTTTTCTTTGTCTCCTTTTTGTTTCTTTTTTGTTTCGTTTTCGTTTCCCTTCTCCCCTCACTTTTGTCTTCTCTTTATTTCTTTTTTATTTCCCTTTTGTCCTTTCATTTTATCTCCTCTTTGTCTCTTTCTGTTTCATTTTTTGTCTTTTTTTTCTTTTTCTGTTCTCTTTTTGCTTCTCTCTTTTGCTGCGCTGCTGCCTCTGCTGAAAGCATTTAGAGTTGTGCTGCGCTGTAGGGTGTACATACACCGTGCGCTCACCTTCAAGTTTCAAAAAGATATATTTTTTTTCACTTTTTCTTTTTTTTGCTTTTAAGGGTCTCTTTTGCTGTTGCTTCTCGCCTCATCCTCTGCTGCAGCACCCCCAAATGTCTCCATCTTTGTCTCCTTTTAGTTTGGTCTCATTCTTTGTCTTTTGCTGCAGTCCCAGCAGCAGCAGCAGCAGCAGCAGGAGCAGAAGCAGCAGCAGCCAGAGATTCTGTGCAAAGCGAACTGCAGCAGCAAAGTGAGCTGTGAGGCCTGCAACAGCAGACTGCTGCTGCTGCTGCTGCCACTGCTACTACTACGACTGTTGCTGCTGTTTCTGTTGCTCTTGCTGCTGCTGCTGCTGCTGCTGTTGCCGCTGCTGTTGCTGCCTCTACTTCGTTGCCAGAGCCCGTATCCCTGCTGCGGTGCTTGACCCTTCTTTCGCTATTTGCTGCTCTGTGGTCCGTTTCTTTTTTTCTTTTGCTGCTGCTGCTGCTGCTGCTGCTGCTGCTGCTGCTTCATTTTTTGCCTTTAGCAGCATATACAGATCGCCGCGCTGTCTCTACACTGTGTTCCATTCACGTGTCTCGTGCTGCTGCTCTTTTCTGCCGTTTTGTCTTTTTCTTTTCTTTGCTTCTTGTCTCTTCCAAAAAACCATTTTGTATCCTTTTACCTTCAGTCTGAGCTGCTGCTGCAGCAGGCCTGCTGCTGCAGCAGGCCTGCTGCTGCAGCGTGCGCTGAAGCCCTTACTGCAGCAGCCGCTGCAGCAGTCGCTTTGCACCAGCTGCTGCAGCAGCAGTCACTGCAGCTGCTGCAGTAGCAGTCACTGCAGCTGCTGCAGCCTTTCTATCGAGTGTCGCAGAAGTCGCTGCTGAAGCAACAGCCGCAGCAGTTGGTGCTGCTGCTGCTGCTGCAGCAGTTGCTGCTGCTGCAGCAACTGCTGCAGCAATGGATGCTGCAGTCAACACAAAAACTGTGAGAGATTGCTACGGCAGACGCTGCAACAGTTGTGGATTGGTTGCCCCATCAGCTGCTGCAGCCACTGCAGCAGGTGCTGCAGCAGTCGCTGGCCTGCTCACTGCAGCAGTTGCAGCAGCTGCTGCTGCACTTGCTGCCGCTGCCGCAGTGACCCCCAGCTGCGGTGGAGTGGTGCCGGCAGCAGCCGCAGGTGCTGCTGGTGCAGTTGCAACTGCATTTGCTGCTGCTGTTTCTGCTACCGTTGCTGCTGCATTTGCTGCTGCTGCTGCTGCTGCTGCTGCTGCTGCTGCTGCTGCAGTTACTTGCCCTAAGGCTGCGGCGCAGCCCAAACTGCTAAGCTGGACCCCTCTTTTTCAGACTCGGATATACTTAGCGCTGCAAAGCGGTTCTTCCCCACAGTCAGCACTGCCACTGCTGCTCCTTTTTGCTGCTGCTGCTGCTGCTGCTGCAGTTGCTGCAGCTGGGTTGCCTGCTGCAGTGGCTGCTCCTGCAGCAGCTGCTGCTGCTGCGTTTGCGATGATTGCAGTTGCAGCTCTTGCTGCTGCTCCTGTGGTGACCGCAGCTGCAGCTCTTGCTGCTGCTGCTGCTGCTGCCGCTGCTGCTGCTGCCGCTGCTGCTGCTGCTGCTTGAAATCTGTCAGCAGCAAGCGGCGGCCGGGGTCCGCGAGCTTTGCTCCATTCAAACGGACTGCCCCATCTCTCAGCAGCCGCGAGGCCTCCAGGGCCGAAGGCGAAAGGGCGAGGGCCCTCATGAGTCGCGGCAAAGGGGGCCCCACACCCTGCAGCAGCAGCAGCAGCAGAAGAGCAGCAGCAGCAGCAAAACGCAGCAGCAGCAAAACGCAGCAGCAGCACAGATGATGCGCAAAGGAAGCGCAGCTGTAATCGTGCCGGATAACTAGGCGGATCGCCACACCGCTGCTGCTATTGCTGCTGCTGCTGCTGCTTTGTTGCGGCCGCAACGCTTGTTGCTGTTTGCCTTTCTGTGGCTGCTGCTGCTGCTGCTGCTGCTGCTCCTGCTTACTTCGTGGAAGCTTGACCGGGAGATAAAGTGCGTCGGCAGCAGCTGCACGGGAACACAGGCCTCGTTCTCCGCTGCGCTGCTGGCCCTGCAGCTGTCGCCGCAGCTTCTGCTGCTGCTGCTGCTGCTGCTGCTGCTGCTGCTGCTACTGCTGCGGTGGACAGGAAGGAAAGACAACGAGGCATGAGCACGCTGAAGACCCTCCTCCCCATGAACAAGGCGAGTCAATTCGTCTGCTAGTTCCCGCTGCAGCAGCAGCAGCAGCAGCAGCAGCAGCAGCAAACAACAACAAAAGCAGCAATGCCAGGAACAGCAACACTAGAGATGGGACATTTGCCTCGAAGCAAACAAAGCAGATGCAGCAGCATCAGCAGCAGCGACAGATGCTACGGGTATCAGCAGCAAAGGCAGCAGAGCTCGCAGGGCGGCGAGGTACGACAACAGTGAAAGCAGCAGCAGCAGCAGCAGCAGCAGCAGCAAGTCCTGACTTTGAGCCGATTAGTGTTTGCAGGCGAGTTGTCTTGGGTGTCCCTCATAATTTCTGCTGCCGGCCTATCGGAAAACCAGAGCAGCAGCCTGCAGCAGCAACAAAAGCATCTAGAAGCCTGCTGCTGCTGCTGCTGCTGCTGCTGCTGCTGCAGCCAATGACGAACGCGCTGCTGCACTACGCGGCGAAAACACTAGCCATAAATGTTGACACAACCAGCAGCAGCAGCAGCACCTCCAGCAGCAGCAGCAGCTCCGCCAGCAGCAGCAAGCTGCTGCCTTTCGGAGCAGCAGCTTCCGGAGAAACAGCAGCAGCAGCACCACCCCGCACCCGCAGCGCTTGCAGCAACAGCAGCAGCAACAAAAGCGGCGGCAGCAGCAGCAGCAACAGCAGCAGCAGCAGGACTTGCTTCTGAAGGTCACTGTCTGCAGCATTTCTCCAGCTTTGCCAAAAACGGAAAGGACTGCAGCAAGAAGCAGACAGCCACAGGGGGGCCCCCCGGGGCCCCTCACTTTTGCCCATCTTGCAGTTCCCGCTGCCCTCCAGCAGCTCAGTAGTTACGCCCACCAGCCACTGCTGCTGCTGCTGCTGCTGCTGCTGCTGCTGCTGCTGCTGCTGCAGCAAACGGCGGGCAACGTGGAGGCCCGTGGAAATGTTTCTCCACTGGTCACGGCCGCCTATTTGGCAGCAGCAGCGGAGGCACTGCGACAGCAGCACGAAGTCTAGGGCCTGCAGCAGCGCGTAGCCGATGTCTGCTGCTGTTGCTGCTGCAGTGCCCACGCCCAGAAGCTGCTGCTGCTGCTGCTGCTGCCTCTCTGCTGCTGCTGCTGCTCGAGGAAGAATGTCAGCCAGAGGCAGCCGACGGGCAGCACAGGAAAGAAAAGCCCCAAGGGGAATCTTCTCCAGCCATTTATCATTTCTTACAACCAGAGGCTCTGGCAGTTGCTGCTGCTGGTCTGCTGCAGCAGCAGCAGCAGTGCTTGCTGCTGCTGCTGCTGCTGCTGCAGGAGGGGAGAAAATGCGGCGCAGCTGCTGCAGCACGCTGCTGCAGTTAGCCTCGATTTCCGCGTCGTACTGCCTCCAATGCTCGCAGCCCAGGAGCTGCAGCAACAAACTATCGCTGCTGCTGCTGCTGCTGCTGCTGCTGCTGCTGTTGCTGCCTCTGCGCACCTGCAGCGCAACACGCGCTGTTGCAGTCCCTAGCAGCAGCACCGGCTGCACCCCTTCTCGCAGCCAGAAGCGCCGCAGCAGCAGCAGCGGCAGCAAATGCCCTGCATGCAAAGAGGGCCCCGTCATGTCAATGCCAATGTAGAAGGACACGCGTTTGCTGCTGCTGCTGCTGCCGCTGCTGCTGCTGCCGCTGCTGCTGCTGCTGCTGGCTTCGTGCAGCGGGAATGGCTGCAGCAGGCGAAGAGCAGCATCATCTGCCGCAGCGATGGCAGGCAGAGTTCGCCCACGTCCTGGCCCTCCCGCTGCTGCTGCTGCTGCTGCTGCTGCTTGGTTTGCTGCTGTTGCTGCTGCTGCTGCTTGGTTTGAGCTGAGGATGCAGTCAAGCTCCTTCAGGTCGCTAACTGTCGCCAGCAGCTGCCGCTGCAGCAGGTCCCTCAAGGTAGAGTTGCGCGGCTCCCAGCTCTCTGCAGCAGCAGCTGCTGCTGCTGCTGCTGCTGCTGCTGCTGCATTTCCTGCTGCTAAGGATGTTTTACAGACAGAAGCATTCGCGGCAGCAGCAGCACCACCGCCGACAGCAGCAGAAGTTGCTGCTGCGACTCCGCAAGGAAGCCGCCGCAGCAGCTTGCTTTTAGGGCTTGCTGCTGCTGAGACAAAAGCACTGCAGCAGCTGCTGCTCTTTATCCCTGTGCTGCTGCAGTGGCTGCGGCGGAAATTGACAGCAGTGGGCCCCTTTCTGTTGCGGAAATAGGAGTTGCTGCTGCTGCTGCTGCTGCTGCTGCTGCTGCTAATGCTGCTGCTGCTGCTGCTGCTAATGCTGCTGCTGCCAAAACCTCCAGGAACGGCAGCACGGCTGGCCCCAAGGTCCAGCTGCAGCGAAGCATAGCAGCAACATTGTGCTTTCAGCATTAGCAGCAGCAGCAGGAGCAGCAGCAGCAGCTGCTGCTGCTGAGGTCTCATGGCTGTTGATGAGACCTGTGGGGGGTTGAGGACTGCAGCGGGAGCAGCAGCAACAGCAGCTGCTGTTGCTGCCGCTGCTGCGCTGGTGTGTCTCTAACTCTGAAGCCCTCTTTCTCAACAGCTTATTTCTTAGCAGCAGTTGCTGCTGCAGCAGCAGCGGCAGCGGCAGCAGAAAGAATCGATGGCAGCAGCAGTGCCTCCATCTCCACTACCCTGCCCGCAGCCTCAACAGAACAAGACCAGCCGCCTCAAGCATTTTCAAATTTCAGTTTGCTGCAGCAGAGGCTTATAATGCGTACATTTGCAGCAGCAGCAGCAGCAGCGTTTGCTGCTGCTGCTGCTGCTGCTGCTGTCGGCTGCATGCGTGGGGCCGCAGCCGACAGGAAACATTGAATGGCTAGCTGCTTCTGTTGTCTTCGCCTTCTCTCCACAAGAAGAAAAGTTATTTTGATAAGTTTAATGCTAATATCAAGGTGTACAGACACTTCACACGCACATTCCGCTGAGACCGCTTTTTCCGCGCTGCTGCTGCTGCTGCTGCTGCTGCTGCTGCTGCTGCTGCTGTAAGGATCAGTTGCAGCAGCTGCATCTGATTGACTGGTGACCTGCTCGGGCACACGGTGGCAGAAGCAGCAGGAAGTATTATGGCTGCAGCTCCTTGTGGTGCAGCAGAAGGCCATCAGAAATACGGAGAATAGCAGCAGCAGCAGCAACAATAGGAGCAGCGGCAGCAGCAGCCAGGCGGGTCGGCTCTAGCAACTGCTACATCAGCAACAGCAGCAACAGCAGCAGCAGCAACAGCAGCAAAAGCAGCAGAAGCGACCACACCTGGGTAGCAGCAGCAGCAAAGGCGCACCAGCAGCTAAGAGGGCCTCAGGGCGGACAGAGCTCCTAAGAACAGCAGCAGCAGCACCGCGGGTTGCCAGAGCAGCAGCAACAGCAGCAACAGCAGCAGCAGCAAAAGCAGCGAGAGCACCAGCAGCAGCAGAAGCAAGACCAATCACAACAGCAGCAGCAGCAGCAGCAGCAGCAGCACAAAAGATGCCCATTACTCTGTCAGGTGCTTTCATAGACAAAATGGCTGCTGTCATTTCGTCGCAGCCGCAGCAGCTGCTGCCTCTTCATCCCCCAGCAGCAGCAGCAGCAGTGCAGCGTCTCATTCGCTTTTCCGAGGAGCTGACCAGACAAGAGCAGCGGCAGCAGCAGCAGCAGCAGCAGCAGCAGCAAGAGCAGCTGCAGCAGCAGCAGCAGGGAAGAACGGCTAACAGGAAAACGCACATCCGCGTACGGCGTGCTGCTGTACTGGTACGTGGACGCACCAGAAATCGCTGCTGCTGCTGTTTCCTGCTGCTTCTGCTGCTGCTGCTGCAGCAGCTACAAGTGCTGCTTGTGCCGCTGCTGCTGCTGCTGCTGCTGCTGCAGGTGCCCCTGTGCAGCAGCCAGGGAGAGGCTTGTTGTCTCTTTACAGTGAGGAGTTCCTCGCTGTCAAATCACAGCAACCAGGTTCGAGAAAGGCTTGACTGCTGCTGCTGCTGCTGCTGTCGTTGCTGTTGCTGCTGCTGCTGTTGTTGCTCTTGCTGCTGTTGCTGCAGTTAGTGTGGAATTTGAAGAGTCCCCTGCTGCGCAGCACCCCCGCAGCTGAGTAAAAGCCCTTGCTGCTGCTCCTGTTGCTTCTGCGTCTCCTTTTTCTCTAGAGCCACGTACGCGTTCTCTTCCTGCTGCTGCTGCTGCTGCTGCTGCTGCTGCTGCGTCAGGTGTGCTTTCCAGGGGGCAGCATGGAGCCGGGAGAGACCCCAGAAGCAGCAGCACTTCGAGAAACAGCAGAAGAGATTGGAGATGTGGGGCCCGTGAGGATCCTAGGACGGACACAGCCGGTGGGAGTACACAATTGCTGCTGCTGCTGCTGCTGCCGCTGCTGCTGCTGCTGCTTTTTGTTCCGCTTCTGCCGCTGCTGTCCTTGCTGATGCCGCTGCTGCTGCTGCTGCTGCCACCTCTGCTGCCCCTGCAGGAGCTGCTGCTGTTTCTGCTGTTGTTCTTGCTTCTGCTGTCCCTGCTGATCTCGCTGCTGCTGCTGCTGCTGCTGCTGCTGCTTCAACTGGTGTTCGTAGTGCGCTTGCTGCTGCCATTGGTATTTGTGTCTTCGTTTCTTTCTTTGCTGCTGCTGCTGCTGCTGGGGAGCTGCGTCGATATGCCTCTTGCCGCAGTCTGCAAGCCTCGCGACTTCACCGCAGCGCAGAGGGTTTAGGGTTTAGGGTTTAGGGTTTAGGGTTTAGGGTTTAGGGTTTAGAGTTTAGAGTTTGTGCCCTCAGGTGTTTTCTGTCTCGGGGTTTGTCCTACACCCTGTCATCGGGGTGCTGCAGCAGGAAGCAAACGTGTCTTTGCTGCGGCCAAACCCTAAAGAGGTGAAGGCAGTTTTCCTTGTTCGCCTAGAGGATCTGCTGCAGCAGCAGCAGCAGCAGCAGCAGCGACAGCAGCAGCAGCAGCAGCAGTTGTGCCAGCAGCGGCAGCAGCGGCAGCAGCAGCATCAACAGCAGCAGGAGGAGCAGGAGAAGCAGCAGCAGCTCATAAATACTCTTCTCAGACTCCCGTACTATCTCCACGAGCAGCAGGCGATTTGGGGTGCACTCACACTAAACCCTAAACCCTAAACCCTAAACCCTAAGTCCTAGTTACACCTCTGTGCCGCTTAAAGTCAAACTTTGCATTATCGTTACGGTGCTGCTGCTGTTGCTGCTGCTGTTGCTGCTGCTGCTGCTGCTTTTGCTTCCCGTGGCGCTGCTGCTGCAGGCCTGACGGCCTTCGTGGTGAGCGGTGTCCTCTCTAGTCTGATTATTCCAGCTCTGCTTTTGCTGCAGCAAAACGCAGCTTGCAGCAGCAGCAACAGCAGCAGCAGCAGCAACGGCAGCAGCAGCAGCAGCAGCTGCTGCTCTTGCAGCAGATGCAAGGGAAAAGACAGTGGACAGCAAGAACAGCAGCAACCGCAGCAGCGTCAACAGCAGCAACTACAAGGACAGCAGCAGCAAGAGCAGCAACTCCAACAGCAGCAGCAGCAGCAACAGCCGCAGCAGCAGCAACAGCCGCAGCAGCAAGCGAAGCAGCAGCCGCTTCCATACGGTTTGCTGCCTCCCGAACTAGACATTGAGACCGTCTAAAGAAAAAGGCAAAGCGCTGCATCAGTCGTATTCGCTGCTGCGCTGCACCTGTAGCCTACAGCAGCAGCAGCAACAGCAGCAGCAGCAACAGCAGCAGCAGCAGCAGCAGCAGGAAGCGTGAAGATTTACGATTTGTCAATATTTGTCAATCCACTGCACTGCGCAAGTATAGGAGCCCCTCAGCTCCTTTTCGTTAACCAAAGGACAAAAAAAAGGCAGCAAAGAGCTTCATTGAAGCTGCGGCTGCTGCAGCTTCATTGAAGCTCTTGCTGCTGCAGCAGCTGCTGCTGCTGCTGCTGCTGCTGCAGCTGCTGCAGCAGCTGCTGCAGCAGCTGCTGCTGCTGCTACTGCGGCCGCCGCTCTTGCTGGAGCTGAAGCGGCTGCAACTAGGGCCCCACATGCCCCAGAAGCAGCAGCAGCACCTGCCAAAAGTTGGCACTCTTGCTGCTGCTGCTATAACTTGTGAAGCCTCAACAAGGACAATAATAAGAAGCAGCTGCTGAGGCACTGACTGCCACACAAGCACCAACCGCAGCTGCTGCTGCAGCTGCTGCAGCAGCAGCAGCAGGAGTGGCACTCGGAGCAAACGGCAAGATCAGCAGCTTCATCTCGGACAGCAGCAGCAGCATGATCAGCAGCAGCAGCAGCTAAGTTTCTGCTGCTGCAGCAGTGACTGAACGCGTCTCCAGGCTGAACTCTCGTTGCTGCTGCTTCGGCCCAAAGACTGCATGCGTTGCGTCACTCAGCACAGCATCAGACAGCAGCAATTGCTGCACCCCGCTGACGAGCTGCTTCAGGGGTTTTTTCAGTTTGTTGCTGTTGCTGCTGCTGCTGTTGCTGCTGCTGCTGTCGTCGCCGGATATGGGGTGCGCGGCGTTTCCCGTTGCGCCGTGGGCAGCAGCAGCAGCAGCATCGCTGCGCTGCAGCAGCATAGACCACTCATCTGCTGCTGCGCTGCTGCGGCTGCTGCTGCCGCTGCTGCTCTCCAGCTTTTCAAAGGCCTCCAGCTCTCTGGCAGGAAATGCCCACATGTGCGCCAGCTGCAGCACAGCAGCAGCAGCAGCAGCAGCAGCAGCAGCAGCAGGTACAGCAGCAGCAAGCAGGAAATTTGATAGATTTAGGTCTTTAAAGGGAGCTCAATGCCTGGGATTCTCTCAGCGCACAGGCCTCTTCAGTCTAGTTTGAGGGTTAAGGGTTTAGGGTTTAGGATCTAGGGTTTAGCGTTGAGGGTTTACCGCGCAAGGAACCATTTCTATGCAGATGAGCCAGTCCTGCAGCCTTGCTGCTGCTGCTGCTGCTGCTGCTCCGTTGCCGTCGCCCGGCAGCAACAGCCCCGCTAACCACCGCAAGGCGAGGGACTGCCTGCAGCAGAAAACAGCTCCAAACCCTAAACCCTAAACCCTAAACCCTTGACCCTTAGCAGTGCCCGAAAGCCTCAAGCTGCTGATACCATCTCCCAAACCCTAAACCCTAAACCCTAAACCCTAAACCCTGGGGCTTACCAGAAGCAAAGAAATACAATTGCCTTCAGAAACAGAAATTTCGGCAGAGGCCGCCACGGCGCTAGCGGCCGCTGTACCGCCATGTAAAATAGAATCAGCGAGTACATTGCCACCTGCAGCAGCAGCAGCAGCAGCAGCAGCAGCAGCAGCAGCAGCGGAGCCGCAGCAACAGTGGTATTGGCAGCAAGGAGTCGAGAGGCATGCGGCAGCAAGCGCACTCAAAGAAGGAGTAGGGAGTGCTGCAGCAGCAACTGCTGCTGCAGCAGCAACTGCTGCTGCAGCAGCTGCTGCTGAAGGGTCAACAGCGAAATGCAGCTACCGGCGACGCAGCAAGAACAGCAGCAGCAGCAGCAGCAGCAGCAGCAGCAAGCTGTGGGCATATTTGGTGTGTCCTTACTGCAGCAGAAATGTTGCTGGCGAGCACCAGAAAGAGAAAACCTTCTTGGTGCATGCAGGCACTAAGAACCTGTAAAGACAAAAAAAGGATACTTTAAAGTCTAAACCCTAAACCCTAAACCCTAAACCCTAAACCCCTAATGGCAGCAGAAGCAGCAGCAGCAGCCTTATTCGCATTCAGTCAAGCTGAAGGCACACCTCTGGTTGCACCTGGGCAGGCCGCTTCCAGCAGCAGAAGCAGCAGCAGCAGAAGCAGCAGAAGCAGCGGCAGCAGAAGCAGCAGCAGCAGAAGCAGCAGCAGAAGCAGAAGCAGAAGCAAAAGACGCAGGCGCAGCAGCAGCAAGAACAGCAACAGCAGGTGCGAAAAGGCAACAGAATACATGGGGGAAGCAGCAGCAGCAAGTGCAGCAGCAGCAGCATCAGCGGCAACGACAGCAGCAGCAGCAGCAGCAGCTGCTGCTGCTGCTGCTGGGCTTACAAAAGCAGCAGGCTTGACAAATACGAACTGCGCTGCAAGGCGTTTAATGTGGCCAAGCCATCGCCTGCAGCAAAGAAGAAACAAAGAGCAGCTGCATCTCTACAGCTGCTGCTGCAGCAGGTTCGGTGTACGTACAGTACAACCTGCTGCAGCAGGTTCAGGTGTACATACACCGCAAGAGGAAGCAGCAGCAGCAGCAGCAGCAGTAGAGAGACTGTGAATACCTGTTGCACTCCATAGGGGGCAGGAAGTGGTTCAGAGGCCACAAATGCTGCAAAGAGCCCTGCAGCAGCAGCAGCAGCAGCAGCAGCAGCACGAGAATCAATGCATGCACCCGAAGACACGATATCCTCCCTTGAACTATGCATCTCCCCGCAACCCTGCTGCTGCTGTTGCTGCTTCTGCTGTTTCTGCTGCTGCTAATTCCCTTGCTGCAACTGCCTTCTGCGCTTCCAGCAGCCACAACAGTGGCAGCAGCAGCAGCAGCAGCAGCAGCTGCTGCTGCTGCAACCGCTGCAGCAACCCCATAGGCCGCAGCACAAGCGGCAGCACCAGCACGAGCTCCAGCAGCAGCATCCGCGGCATTCGAGTCAGCGAGAGCAGCAGCAGCAGCAGTCGAGTCCGCCACAGAATCAGCAGCAGCAGCAGCAGCAGCAGC